GTGGGAGTCCGGCCCCGGGGCGGGGTGTCCCTCCAGGAGAGCCCCGGGCCTGCTCGGGACGAGGCCGCCGGGCCGCCACGAGGAGCCTCGTCAACCCCCCCGGACGGTCCCGCGCGGGGAGCCCAGGGCCCGGAAGGAGGGGGGGGCGGGAGCGAGTGGGGGGAGGCTAACGGGCCCGCGAACCAACACTTCCCCCCCCGCAGCCGACACCGGAAGGGCTCCGATCGTTTCCGAGGCAAACGGAAAAAACCGTCCTTCGGAGCCGGCGCTGATTGGTCAGAGGCAGTCCTGGCCCTGCCTCCACATCCGGTTTGGGAGCCCCTGCGCCTGCGCACTCTCGGCGGGGATCGTGCAGAGCGGTGTTCGCCGCCGCCATTAGCGGAGTTCGAGCGCGGAGAAGCGAAGGGAATCCCTGGTCGGAGCCGGCGGGGCTGCGGGGCCCGGAGCCCTCGCGAGGGGAAGGCAGGTGCGGGGAGTCCCTTCCCGTCCCCCGCCCGCCCGCCCTGCGCCCCCTCGGGGCCAGGCCCGGCCTGTCCTTCGTCCGCGCTGCCCCGGGGGGGGGGGTCTCGGAGTCGTCGGGCCCGCAGGATGGAAGGGCGGCCGCGGCTCCCCCACGGCCCTTTCTCCCCCCCCGATAGTGCCCCTCCCCGCGACCCTCCCCGGGGCGAGAGGGGGAGGCGTCGCTGCCCTTCCGGCCCCCCGCAGGGACGGGAGGCGGGTTTGCGCCCTCCCCCCTCCCCTCCCCTCCCCTCCCTCCCAGCTGGCTCGGGGGGGGGGCGGGGGTCGTCCTGAGCTGAAGCGGGAAGAGGAGGCGGCGGGCCGTGAAGAAGCTCCGGGGGTGAATCTGGCCCTCCTCCGCTGGGCCTGCAGGGTGACGGGGGCCATTTTCCTTCCCAATCATTCCACCCTTCCACAGAGTGTCGCTCACCCCCCTGCAGAGGCTTTGTAGGGGAAGCCCCCGAGATGCCGCGTCTTTCTTCCCCGCAATTCTGCACGAGTTGCTTGCGCCTCCCTAGTTGCCTCAGGAGGGCAGGAAGGCCGGTTGTGGGAGCAGGGCATTCTCGGAGAAACGGGCCCGCCTGCGCCTCTCCTCTCCCCGTCAGAGATGGTCTCTGCTCTTTTTTCCCCAGGTTGCGTTCCTCACCATGGCCGGAGTGTTCCCTTTCCGGGGGCCTTGCCCCCCCCTGCCCACGCCCTTGACGCCGTTGCCTGACTACATGTCGGAGGAGAAATTGCAGGAGAAAGGTAACGGTCGCGGGACGCGTGGGCCTCCGACGGGAAGAGGCTTCGTCACTCGAAGTTTTTAAGAAGAGACTGGATGGCCGCTTGTCTGGAATGGTCTAGCACAGGGATAGGCAACCTTGCCTCTTTTATGAGTCGTGGACTTCAACTCCCAGAATTCCTGAGCCAGCATGGCTGGCTCAGGAATTCTGGGAGTTGAAGTCCACGAGTCATAAAAGAGCCAAGGTTGCCTAACCCTGCGCTAGTGTCTCCTGCTCGATCAGTGGGTTGGACTAGTAGACCTCCAAGGTCCCTTCCAGCTCTGCTCCAATTCTGCTCCCATGTTGGAGGTTGGGTGGGAGGGAATATCAGGGATGAGTGAAGAGACTTTCACGCTGGGCTTTTTTCCCCTCCTTTCAGCCCGCAAATGGCAACAGCTGCAGGCAAAGCGCTATGCCGAGAAGAGGAAGTTTGGCTTTGTGGACGCCCAGAAGGAGGACATGCCGCCTGAGCACGTGAGGAAGATCATCCGTGACCATGGAGACATGACCAACAGGAAGTTCCGTCACGACAAGCGGGTGTATCTGGGGTGAGCCTTGGGGAAGATGCCACGGCCTGCTTGGACTGGGAGGTTGGGCAGTTGCAGAAGCTCCTTTCCCACCGAGAAAGAGCCAGGCGGGAGGCTTGGCTGAGTTGTGCGCATCTCTTCTCCATCACGTACGTTTTCATTGAGGAGATCTCTGGGTGGAGAGCGTGGGGAGGCTCGTCTCTGCTTGACGCTGCCCACTAGATGTCCTGAGGGGGTCAGAGGTCGAGTGCTGTGGTTCAGCCTTAGTAGAAAAAAGATGCTCTGGAGTTCCCGCGTTGGGCATTTTGCTGATCTGGATGTGGCCTTGGCAGAGCCAGAGGAGGGAGAGAGAGGGCGTGCTAGTCGCACCGTATCAGATTCTTTTCGGGTTGTGAGCCTGAGGGGGGCTTACAGAGGGTTCCCTTGGAGCCCAGGAATCTCCTGCGGCAATGGCCAGCAGTACCTTTCCTTGACCTCTTCAGACAGGGCATCGTGATGGATGTCAGCCTTTGAGGTCGGCCGCAGAGACTCTACCAGGGTGCTATATTATTGTAGGCTACAATAACAGAACCTTGGAAGCCAGCCAGAGTTCCCTATGCGTCATCTTTGAGACAGGGTTACTTTTGAGCTTTTTTTCTTCACACTTTCCCTCCCGTAACAGTTCGTTGCCCTCTTCCCACTTTCCGAGGCCAAATCTACATTCTGTCCCACCAGGCTAGACTGAAGGGGATTTGTAGGTCCTGGGGCTTGTTTCTCGCAGTGAAATTCCTGCATGTTTTGAGAATTGCACTCCGGTGGCTGAGCAGACTTTTTCCGCTAGTCCTTCCCTGCGTTGTAACGGCTGTGCTGGCCAACCAGAATCCAGCAGGGGCTACTCTAAGGCTAGGGTGGTTATCACATGCTTCTCCCCTTCTCCCTCTTTCCCTCCCAGGGCCCTGAAGTACATGCCTCACGCAGTTCTGAAGCTCCTGGAGAACATGCCGATGCCCTGGGAGCAGATCCGTGACGTGCCCGTCCTCTACCATATCACTGGTGCCATTTCCTTCGTGAACGAGATCCCTTGGGTGATCGAGCCAGTGTACATCGCCCAGTGGGGGTAAGGGAGCCTCACCAGCTGGCACTTGGGGGGCAGAGGAGGCCCAGGATCGGCCCCTCACCGCGGCTGATTCTTGGAACTGGATGTATCCCAAGGTCCATGTGGATCATGATGCGACGGGAGAAGAGGGACCGGCGGCATTTCAAGCGGATGCGCTTCCCGCCCTTTGACGACGAAGAGCCCCCCCTCGACTACGCAGACAACATCCTGGACGTGGAGCCCCTGGAGGCCATCCAGCTGGAGCTGGACACGGAGGAAGACGCTCCCGTCTTGGACTGGTTCTATGACCACCAGCCCCTGAAGGACAGCCGCAAGTGCGTACTCCTACGTGTTCCCTTCTGGGGTGGGGGAGGAGTAAGAAATGGTGCCAAGTATCCCCCCCTCACATGTCTGGCCAGAGAATCGATGGGGTTCTGGCTCTCGGACCTGAGGTGGGCAGGGCTTGAACCCGGAGCAAGACATGCACGTCCTTTGCTGGGTCAGCAAAAGGCTCTGGGCGCCTCCTGCTCCAAGGAGAGAGGCCATCTTCGGTCTCTGCGGTTAATGCTCTGACCTCGTGGAGGGTCCAGAAGAGCTGCAAGAGTAAACCCCCTCCCCCCGGGGCCCTCCGTTCTCCCCTGCGGAACAGAGGCTTTGCAGGGAAGGGCAGTTGCCAAAGGCAGCCCCCCCCTTTCCCCCCCAGGGACCTCACGGCCTCTTCTGGGCTGCAGGTACGTCAACGGCTCCACCTACCAGCGATGGCAGTTCACCCTCCCCATGATGTCCACCCTCTACCGCCTGGCCAACCAGCTCCTCACGGACCTCGTGGACGACAACTACTTTTACCTCTTTGACCTGAAGGCCTTTTTCACCTCCAAGGCCCTCAACATGGCCATCCCGGGGGGGCCCAAGTTTGAGCCCCTGGTTCGAGACATCAACCTGCAGTGAGTGGCAGAGATTTTGCCTTGCGGGTGTTGGGGGGAATGCATGGTGGGGGAGGGGGTGTCTATGGGTGGGGTTCGCTTGTGGAACCTCCCTGCGTGACTGTCAGAATGGGCGTGGTCAGCTGGGTTTATTGGCTTGGGAAAAAAGAGCCTGAAGGCTTCAGAGGTTTGTATGTGTGTGTGTGTGAGAGAGAGAGAGAGAGAGAGAGAATGTGGATCCCTTGACCTCTGCTGGGATGGGGGGGGCAGCCTGGGAGCCTCCGAGCAGCCCTCCCCCTCAACGCAGCCCTTCCCCTTCTGGCTTCAAAGGGACGAGGACTGGAACGAGTTCAATGACATCAACAAGATCATCATCCGGCAGCCGATCCGGACGGAGTACAAGATCGCCTTCCCCTACCTCTACAACAACCTTCCCCATCACGTCCACCTCACCTGGTGAGGGCGGGGGGGGGAGCGGAGGGCAGGGAGAGGCGGGCTAGGAGGCTGGACGCTGCGCCCCACCAAGGGGGGCCGGGCCCAGAGGCTCAGCCGGCGTTCAGCCCAGTCCGGGCGATGGCAGCCTCTGGAGAAGCTCTCTGTCCCAACGGCACCTCGTCCTCTGCAGGTATCACACGCCCAACGTGGTCTTCATCAAAACCGAGGACCCAGACCTGCCGGCTTTCTACTTTGACCCTCTCATCAACCCCATTTCCCACAGACACTCGGTTAAGGTGAGGCCCTTTGGGGGTTTCTGTTCCTGCCCGGTTCCATCTCCGGAGGGAGCCCAGAGGGTCTTCCGGGTAGAAATGAAAATACAACGTGCCACAAAAGCAGCAGTTTCAGCGATATAAGAGCCACCCCTGAGGGACCAAAACGAATGAATAATGGGTGGAAATCAGGGGGAAATGCTCGTTTTAATAAAATTCAGGAGAACGGGACCAGGGCTGCCAAAGGGAGGAAGAGGGAAGCTTCTGCCCCGTCTGACTTCCGCGTGACCGACTGTAGGGACGCCCGAAGGGGGCGGTGGTTCTTGCCACTGGGCTCCTCCAGCCCTCGAGGGCCGCCCTTCGGCCCCCTGCCTGGCAGAGGGCCGGCCAGGGGGAGGGGTGGGCTTCCTTGGGGGCCTCTGTGACCGCGCCTGATCCTCCCAGAGCCAGGAGCCACTTCCTGATGACGACGAAGAGTTTGAGCTGCCGGAGTTTGTGGAGCCCTTCCTGAAGGAGACCCCTCTTTACACGGACAACACGGCCAACGGCATCGCCCTGCTCTGGGCACCGCGGCCCTTTAACTTGCGCTCCGGCCGGACCCGGCGAGCCCTCGACATACCGCTGGTCAAGAACTGGTAAGGGTAGCTGGGGTGGCCCAGTTTGCTTCCCGAAAGGGCTCGTAAGCCCCCGATGGCCGCTCTGCTTCTCACCTCCTGGAGCCTTGGCCGAACCTGCGCTTGCCCTCTGGGGCTCTGCCCTCCTTCCGCACAGGCAGAGAACTCAGAGCATTCTTCTCCCCCCTCCCTCCCTCCCTCCCCCCTGGTTGACAGGTACCGGGAGCACTGTCCTGCCGGGCAGCCTGTGAAGGTGCGGGTGTCTTACCAGAAGCTCCTGAAGTACTACGTCCTGAATGCCCTCAAGCACAGGCCCCCCAAGGCGCAGAAGAAGAGGTGAGTGGGGGCCCTGGGAACTCAGTAGAGCCCCCCCCCGAGCCATTCTTGGCACCTCCTGCTCCTTGGAAGGAGGGGGCAGCTCAGACCGGCTGGCGGGCAGAAGGGAGAGCGGGGGCCTGGCGAGACAGTGGCCCTCCCAGTGTGCCCGCCCAGCCCTCCCGTCTCCCCCCCCAGGTACCTCTTCCGCTCCTTCAAGGCCACCAAGTTCTTCCAGTCCACCAAGCTGGACTGGGTGGAGGTGGGGCTGCAGGTCTGCCGCCAGGGCTACAACATGCTCAACCTTCTGATCCACCGCAAGAACCTCAACTACCTCCACCTGGACTACAACTTCAACCTGAAGCCTGTCAAGACCCTCACCACCAAGGTGCCTCCCCCTTCCCTTGCCCCTTAGCGGTAACAGGGATAGCTCCCCCCCCCCCCCCCCCCCGCCCTTGGCCGGGAGCTGTAGGCCCCTCACGTTGTTTTGCGCATCCCCCCTCAGTGCAGCTTTCAGGCAACTGTGCCCGGGGTGGGGCAAAGGAACACAGTGGGACTGTCCCTGCTGGACCACCCTCTCCTCCTCCTCCTCCTCCTCCTCCGGGTTCCCAGGTGCCCCCTGCTGCCCTGCTCAGGGTTTCTCCTCTCGCTCGGTAGGAAAGGAAGAAGTCTCGCTTTGGCAACGCCTTCCACCTGTGCCGTGAGGTGCTGCGTCTGACCAAGCTGGTGGTGGACAGCCACGTCCAGTACAGGCTAGGAAACGTGGACGCCTTCCAGGTGGGTGGTGCCCTCTTGCTGCTGAATGCCGGGGCCCTGAGAGGCCCTGGGGCACCCTGCCAGTCCCCCCACAGCTGAACCCTGGGCTGGGCGCATTCTCTAAGCCCTGCTGCCACCTTTCCCCACAGCTGTCAGACGGCCTCCAGTACATCTTCGCTCACGTCGGGCAGCTGACGGGGATGTACCGGTACAAGTACAAACTCATGAGGCAGATCCGGATGTGCAAGGACCTCAAGCACCTCATTTATTACCGCTTCAACACAGTGAGTGCAGCTGAGCCACGGGGAGGTTTAGCCCCTGCTGTGATCCCAAGGGCCTCTCCCGCTTACGGGAAATAATGTTCTGTAAAAACAGTTAAGTCGCTCGAGTGCAGAATCGCTAACCTGGGGGTCTCCGGAACAGCTCTGTAATTTCCAGCAGGTCAACCTGGGTTCAGGGGGGGAGCCTTTTCTGACAAACGGGCACTGCAGCAGGTGAATCTCATGGATGGGGGGGCTACTGACCCTCTCCCCCAGCCTGGGACCCGCATGTCAGGTGGGCCCATTCCGTTCCAGGCAGTCGCGAGGGCTCTCGGGCGCCAGGCCGTGTCCGGAGGTCCCCATGAAACCGACCAGGCGCTTCCTTCCCTTGTGTAGGGGCCGGTGGGGAAGGGCCCCGGCTGCGGTTTCTGGGCTGCAGGCTGGCGCGTGTGGCTGTTCTTCATGCGAGGGATTACGCCTCTGCTGGAGCGCTGGCTCGGGAACCTCCTGGCCAGGCAGTTTGAAGGTAAGCAGAGCCTCCCTGGCGGCTGCCTTTAGTCGGGCCGTTCAGACCTCCTTGAGCAGCCCCATCCTGGGGGGGGGAGGGGAACGAGAGACGGTGGTCAGCAAAATGCCCCCCTTGTGGAATCCTCAAACGGCTTTGGGTCGTTTGTGAACCTGTAAGGTTTTTATCCTGGAAGGATTTCCTGTAGTTTTCCTAACCCTTCAGAAGCGTCACAGGGTTGGGGTTAGCTCTGGAAACAGTTGGCTTCCAAATCCACACCTCCTCCCCAGCCAGATCCGAATAGCTCCCGGGCACCAGGTCCCATGCTCCACTGCCTCTCCTACCTGGCGTGGGTAGAGGTCTGTAACTGAGTAGCTTCGCCCCAAGGTAGGGGATGGTCTCCCCCAGTGACGCTGAGCATCAGGAGAGAGAAGAGCCAAACATTTGGCATTCTCTAGTGGTGACCCCTGGGCTTGACCCCTCCCACTGCTCTAGATTGGAACTGGCCCCTCGGGAAAGAGGGGGACCCCTCGGGAAGAGTGGACCCACTCCCCACCTTCACTGCTGGCCCAGATGGGTAGCAGAGTTGCTGGCGCTTGAAGCCGTCACAAGACCAGCCAAGGCAACTTGCTGTGAATCCTGGCTGGGTAGATTTCATCCAGGACACTCTCCAGCTCTAGCCCCAAATAAATTCTGTCTCAGATGGACACGTTGATGCCGTTCTCGCCCATTTCCCCTGCTGCTTCAGTGCTGTAGTTGATCCCTTTTTTCTCTAAAAATCCTATATCGACCTTGAATCCTGGAAAAGCTGAGAGCTTTTCTGTCACCCTGGGGAGATCCTGCGGCCTCCTGGAAGGTCCACGGAACAACCACGCAAGGGATCTGTTTTCCATCCTTCCTTCCAGGCCGCCACTCAAAGGGGGTGGCCAAGACTGTCACCAAACAGCGGGTAGAGTCCCACTTTGACCTGGAGCTGCGGGCGGCAGTGATGCACGATATCCTGGACATGATGCCCGAGGGGATCAAGCAGAACAAGGCCCGGACCATCCTGCAGCACCTGAGCGAAGCCTGGCGGTGCTGGAAGGCCAATATCCCTTGGAAGGCAAGTCCCCGAGGCCCCTGCCCCTCCCTCCCTCCCTCCCCGTGGAGCCGGCCGTTCAGGTGGGGCAGCTTCTCCTTTTCCTCCTGTCCCACTGCAGGTCCCGGGGCTGCCAACTCCCATCGAGAACATGATCTTGCGGTACGTGAAGGCCAAAGCAGACTGGTGGACCAACACAGCGCACTACAACCGGGAGCGCATCCGCCGTGGGGCCACCGTGGACAAGACGGTCTGCAAGAAGAACTTGGGCCGCCTGACTCGCCTCTACCTGAAGGCCGAGCAGGAGAGGCAGCACAACTACCTGAAGGTGGGCAGCCCCTTGGGCCTCTGGCCGGGGGAGGCAGGCCGACGTGCCGTGGGTGGCCTGGCTTTGACCCTGCCGTGGTTCGTCTGCAGGATGGTCCGTACATCACCGCAGAGGAGGCTGTGGCCGTTTACACCACCACGGTGCACTGGCTGGAGAGCCGGCGCTTCTCCCCGATCCCTTTCCCCCCCCTCTCCTACAAACACGACACCAAGCTCCTGATCCTGGCCCTGGAGAGGCTGAAGGAGGCTTACAGGTACCCTGGGGAGGGAGGGGATGTGTGGTGTGGGAGGGAGGGGATGTGTGATGCTTAGGGGTGGGGGGAGTTCAGGATCACGCAACGCAGCACCCAAGCATTCTTTTGTGAAAAGGCCTTCCTGGTTTTTACCCCGACTCTTTTTCACGCTGAGCTTGTTGGCTGCAAGTGCGTTCTTTTATGTCTGGGAGATCATGTGGCAGGAGGTCCCGCTGGCTTCACCTGCCTCCTTGGCTTACCTGACTTGCTTCCCGGAGCTCTCTTTGAAGAGGTCCGAGCTGCTCTCCCAAACCGCACTTCTTTCCTCCAGCGTGAAGTCTCGTCTGAACCAGTCCCAGCGGGAGGAGCTGGGCCTGATCGAGCAGGCATACGACAACCCTCACGAGGCCCTTTCACGCATCAAGCGACACTTGCTCACCCAGCGAGCCTTCAAGGAGGTGAGCCTCGGCAAGAGGACAGGGTTTCTCACGGCCGGGTTTCACGCCAGTGCGTGGCTGCCTGCCAGAGCCTAACGCACGAGTGCCCTGATCAGTGCTCTCCTTGGCTAGGTGGGCATCGAGTTTATGGACCTCTACAGCCACCTGGTCCCTGTTTATGACGTGGAGCCCCTGGAGAAGATTACAGACGCCTACCTGGACCAATACCTGTGGTACGAGGCAGACAAGAGACGTCTCTTCCCTCCATGGATCAAGCCAGCTGACACAGAGCCCCCTCCGCTGCTAGTGTACAAGTGGTGCCAGGGTGAGTCTGGGCGTGGGGTCTCACTGGTAAAACCACCCCTTCCTTCCTAAGACTGGGTGGCGTAAACTGGGAGACAGAGGCGGGTTGTTGACCCTGTGGTTGTGGAGGGAGGAAAGGGCCGGATGGTCCAGGCTGGGAATGTCTAGTTCCTCCAGGACGGCAGAGAAGGACGTGACTGGCCCCGATTGCTGCAGGGTGCAAAGGGGGCCCTTCCCCCCTTGCAATCTTCCAACATGCTTTCGGGGGCTTCCAGGGATTAACAACCTGCAGGACGTGTGGGAGACCAGCGAAGGGGAGTGCAACGTGATGCTCGAGTCCCGCTTTGAGAAGATGTATGAGAAGATCGACTTGACGCTGCTCAACAGGCTGCTGCGTCTCATTGTCGACCACAACATCGCCGACTACATGACAGCCAAGAACAACGTGGTCATCAACTACAAGGTAGGCTAAGTGGGCTGCTGGCCTCCCGGCTCAGGCGTGACCCCAGAGGCGCCCTTGACCCTCTTCTGCCCCCCCCCAGGACATGAACCACACCAACTCCTACGGGATCATCCGGGGCCTGCAGTTCGCCTCCTTCATCGTCCAGTATTACGGGCTGGTGATGGACCTGCTGGTGCTTGGCCTGCACCGGGCCAGTGAGATGGCCGGCCCCCCACAGATGCCCAACGACTTCCTCAGCTTCCAGGACCTGGCCACAGAGGTGGCCCACCCGATACGCTTGTTCTGCAGATACATCGACCGCATCCACATCTTCTTCAGGTGCCAGTCGGGGGGGTGGGGACACTTGGCAGGGATGGCATGTCTGTGAATTGAGACACCCCTCCACACACATACACACTCTGCACATTTCCCACCAGTTGGTTGTGGGTGGCCCTCGTGGGGAGGGAGCTGATGGACTTGAAGAGATGTCACAACTCTGCTCTGTCCACGTTAATTCTCAGCGGCTGGTTGGGCTGCTTTGACCATCCAGCCTGCTTGCTGTCCCATTTGGCCAGCCTGGAAGTCTCGCAGAGCAGTGGGGGTACTCCTGGGCCCCAGCCCCCTCCCCATTTCCAGGGACAGTGCGTGGGGAGGGTTGACGCCTCTGGGCTGCCGTCCTACAGGTTCAGCGCAGACGAGGCCAGGGACCTGATCCAGCGCTACCTGACCGAGCACCCGGATCCAAACAACGAGAACATTGTGGGCTACAACAACAAGAAGTGCTGGCCTCGTGATGCTCGCATGCGCCTCATGAAGCATGACGTTAACCTGTGAGTGTGTGGCCGGTGGGGTGGCTGCCCTCCTGCTGCCCCCGGGTGGGGCTGGAGGGCCAGCCCATAAACTCGGCTCTTCCCCCCGGCAGGGGCCGCGCTGTCTTCTGGGACATCAAGAACCGGCTGCCGCGCTCCGTCACCACCGTGCAGTGGGAGAACAGCTTTGTGTCCGTGTACAGCAAGGACAACCCGAACCTGCTCTTCAACATGTGCGGCTTTGAATGTCGCATCCTGCCCAAGTGCCGGACGAGCTACGAAGAGTTCACCCACAAGGACGGCGTGTGGAACTTGCAGAACGAGGTGGGCGGCCTCCGGAGAGGGTTTTCCTTCTGGGGGGGGAGCCGGCAAAGTGCCCCCCCTGCTCATTGCTCTCTGCTCTCGTAGGTGACCAAGGAACGCACCGCACAGTGTTTCTTGCGAGTGGACGATGAGTCCATGCAGAGGTTCCACAACCGGGTCAGGCAGATCCTGATGGCCTCGGGGTCCACCACCTTCACCAAGGTAGGGAGGCTGGTTGTGGGAGGAGGAGGCCTCAGCTCAGGCACAGGCAAGGGGGGGGGTGCCTGAGCTCCCGTCCTCTCTCCTCTCCCGCTGGCAGATCGTGAACAAGTGGAACACGGCCCTGATCGGCTTAATGACCTACTTCCGGGAGGCCGTGGTGAACACCCAGGAGCTGCTGGACTTGCTGGTGAAGTGTGAGAACAAGATCCAGACTCGGATCAAGATCGGCCTGAACTCCAAGATGCCTAGCCGCTTCCCGCCCGTGGTCTTCTACACCCCCAAGGAGCTTGGGGGGCTGGGCATGCTGTCCATGGGCCACGTCCTGATCCCTCAGTCCGACCTCAGGTGAGGAGGCGGCTGTTCCGTCTGCTGGTGGGGAGGGCCGGTCTGGGCCCTCGGGTTGAGCCAATCGGTCTGTTCCTCAGGTGGTCCAAGCAGACAGACGTGGGCATCACTCACTTCCGGTCTGGGATGAGCCACGAGGAGGACCAGCTGATCCCCAATCTGTACCGGTACATCCAGCCGTGGGAGAGCGAGTTCATCGACTCCCAGCGGGTGTGGGCCGAATACGCCCTCAAGCGGCAGGAGGCCATTGCTCAGAACAGGTGGGTTGTGGGGGGCGGAGGCAGACCCTCGGGCAGGAGAGAAGAGGCCCACGGCAGGGAGAGTTCTGGCTGGGCGATGGTCCCCTGGGGTGGCTGATGCTAAGGCAGGATTTGCACGCTGCCCTTAAAGTAGCTCTTGAACTCAATCCGTGTTCTGGTCAGCACCGTAACGTGACGCAATCCGAACGGGCTGGCTCTGTAAATCGTGCCAGGCTCAGGAAAAGGTTAGCCCAGGCTAAAAGGGACCGAACTTGGTGAACCGTATGAACGGAGCCGGTGGGTCTACCCTGGGCCTGGTGAGGCCTGTGGTGCAGATCAGGCGGCCTTTGGTTCAGCCAGCCTGGCCCCTTCTCCCTGCCGTAGGCGCCTGACCCTGGAGGACCTGGAGGACTCGTGGGACAGAGGCATCCCACGCATCAACACCCTCTTCCAAAAGGACCGGCACACGCTGGCCTACGACAAGGGCTGGAGAGTCAGGACGGATTTCAAGCAGTACCAGGTTTGTGGGCCGTCCCCCTCCCAGCGTGCCCTCTCCTGATAGCAGGTGGTGTGGAAGTCATGAGGCTCCCAGGGCCGCCAGCTCTGCGGCCCCTCCCAAGCCCCCTTCTCTCTTTCCCCCCCCCTTCCCCACAGGTGCTGAAGCAGAACCCCTTCTGGTGGACCCACCAGCGCCACGACGGGAAGCTTTGGAACCTGAACAACTACCGCACGGACATGATCCAGGCCCTGGGAGGAGTGGAGGGCATCCTGGAGCACACGCTCTTCAAGGGCACCTACTTCCCCACCTGGGAGGGGCTCTTCTGGTGAGGAGCGCTCCGTGCCAGGGCCTCTGGGGGGTGGGGGGCTGCGGGCACCTCCTGGCGTGACGCATCCTGCTCTCCTGTCCACCCAGGGAAAAAGCCAGCGGCTTTGAGGAGTCCATGAAGTGGAAGAAGCTGACCAACGCCCAGCGCTCGGGTCTCAACCAAATCCCTAACCGGAGGTTCACCCTCTGGTGGTCTCCCACCATCAACAGAGCCAACGTGAGTCCTGCTCCCGCCCGGTGCAGCAGGGGGCAGGGGGGTGTCCCTCGGGATCGGGCTGGCAGGGCCTCGGGGGGGTGGTTCAGAGGGAAGAGGGCTCTGGGTTGAAGCTTGATGGGGCCTCACCTCTCTCCCTCTCTCCTCTCCCCCCCCCCGGCAGGTGTACGTGGGCTTCCAGGTGCAGCTGGACCTGACTGGCATCTTCATGCACGGCAAGATCCCCACGCTGAAGATCTCCCTGATCCAGATCTTCCGGGCTCACCTGTGGCAGAAGATCCATGAGAGCATCGTCATGGACCTCTGCCAGGTGAGGGGGGCCCCTTTGGCTCTCCTGGGCGGGGGGCTCTGGAGCCCTGCAAAAGGCGGCCCCGGGTGGCTTCACTCCTGCACACCAGGGCCTCGGGTCCCCCTCTCCCCATTCGCTGCCAACCCCCCCCCTCCGCTGGTTCCAGGTGTTTGACCAGGAGCTGGACGCCTTGGAGATTGAGACCGTGCAGAAGGAGACCATCCACCCCAGGAAGTCCTACAAGATGAACTCCTCCTGCGCGGACATCCTCCTCTTTGCCTCCTACAAGTGGAACGTCTCCCGGCCCTCCCTGTTGGCCGACTCCAAGTAAGCCGCTTGGGGCTGGAGGGGGGAGATGGGGGGCTCCTCCCCAGCTGCCCTGCCTGCTTCCCTCATGCTGATGGCCTCCTGCCCTTCCTCCTCCTCCTCCTCCTCCTCCTCTTCTGCTGCTGCCGCCCAGGGACGTGATGGACAGCACCACCACCCAGAAGTACTGGATCGACATCCAGCTGCGTTGGGGAGACTATGACTCGCACGACATCGAGCGTTACGCCCGGGCAAAGTTCCTGGACTACACAACAGACAACATGAGCATCTACCCCTCACCCACCGGGGTCCTCATTGCCATTGACCTAGCCTACAACCTGCACAGGTGAGGAGGGGGGCAGGGATCCGGCAGGTTCGGTGGATCAGCCGGAGTGGCTGCAGGATGTGGTCACGTGGTCCTTTGGGCCTCATTTGGAAGAGGCAGGTACCCTTTGTGCGTGCGTGTCCGTGTGTCCCCGTGACCCCCGGCCCTCAGGGACTCGCTCTGTTCCCCGCCCTCCTCCCAGCGCCTACGGAAACTGGTTCCCCGGAAGCAAGCCCCTGATCCAGCAGGCCATGGCCAAGATCATGAAGGCCAACCCAGCCCTGTACGTGCTGAGGGAGCGGATCCGCAAGGGGCTGCAGCTCTACTCCTCGGAGCCCACCGAGCCCTACCTGTCCTCCCAGAACTACGGGGAGCTCTTCTCCAACCAGATCATCTGGTTTGTGGACGACACCAACGTCTACAGGGTCACCATCCACAAGGTGAGGGCGAGGGGGGGGTCTGGGCTCCCCCCCTCCCTGGGGGGCGGGGGGCGGGGGAGGGGCTGGGCACCTTCTGACCAGCAGCTGCTCCCTTTAGACCTTTGAAGGAAACTTGACCACCAAGCCGATCAACGGGGCCATCTTCATCTTCAACCCTCGGACCGGGCAGCTCTTCCTGAAGATCATCCACACTTCTGTTTGGGCTGGGCAGAAGCGCTTGGGCCAGGTGAGGTCTTGGCCCCTCTTCTCTTGGGGCAGGGTGGGAGGGAGGGAAGCCTTCTGGGCCCCTTCCGGGCCTCGCTCATTCCGCTCGCTGCCCCCCCCTTGCCAGCTGGCCAAGTGGAAGACCGCAGAGGAGGTGGCGGCCCTGATCCGGTCCCTGCCTGTGGAGGAGCAGCCCAAGCAGATCATCGTCACCCGGAAGGGCATGTTGGACCCTTTGGAGGTAGGCTGAGGGGGAAGGGGGGGCCCTGGGGGGACTGAGCTGCCATATTGGGGGGGATGGGAGGGACGCGGCACCTCCTCCTCCTCCTCCTGCCGTTGGATCTGTGGCCATAGCCTGGAGCTCTGGACAATGACCCCTAATCCCCACCCTCCCCTGTGTGACCCTTTCTCCCCCGACAGGTGCACCTGCTGGACTTCCCCAACATCGTGATCAAAGGCTCAGAGCTGCAGCTGCCCTTCCAGGCCTGCCTGAAGGTGGAGAAGTTTGGGGACCTCATCCTGAAGGCGACAGAACCCCAGATGGTCCTCTTCAACCTTTACGATGACTGGCTGAAGACCATCTCTTCCTACACGGTGAGCCTCCTGGCCGTTCCCACACGGACCACGCTCGGAGGGCCGGCTGGGGATGAGCCGGCCTCTGCCCCCCTGGTGCGGGTGGGATGCCAATCGTGTTTCTCCCCCCCCCTCTTCCAGGCCTTTTCCCGCCTGATCCTCATCCTGCGGGCGCTGCATGTGAACAACGATCGGGCCAAAGTCATCTTGAAGCCGGACAAGACCACCATCACGGAGCCTCACCACATCTGGCCCACCTTGACTGATGAGGAGTGGATCAAAGTGGAGGTGCAGCTGAAGGACCTGATCTTGGCCGACTACGGCAAGAAGAACAAGTAGGTGGCCGCATGGCTCTCTCGGCCTCCCCTCGTGGCACGGAGGAGGGTCCTGCCCTGCCCCCCCCTGAGGCCGGGGGGATCTCCGCCAGCACCCCAAAGCCCTTACAAGGGTGGGTGCCCCGAAGGCTCCGATTGGCCAGCCCTGACCTTCTCCTGCTCGCTCTTTGCCAGCGTGAACGTGGCTTCCTTGACCCAGTCAGAGATCCGGGACATCATTCTGGGCATGGAGATCTCGGCCCCCTCCCAGCAGCGGCAGCAGATCGCGGAGATTGAGAAGCAGACCAAGGAGCAGAGCCAGCTGACGGCCACCCAGACGCGGACGGTCAACAAGCACGGCGACGAGATCATCACCTCCACCACCAGCAACTACGAGACCCAGACCTTCTCCTCCAAGACCGAGTGGCGGGTCAGGTGGGCGGCGGAAGCCCGGAGGGAGGGATGGAGGGAGGGCTGCCCCCCCGCCCTCCTCAGGCGCCACTTGGCGCAGGCGGTCACCCCCTTCGCTTCCTCCCCCCAGGGCCATCTCCGCGGCCAATCTCCACCTGCGCACCAACCACATCTACGTTTCCTCGGACGACATCAAGGAGACCGGCTACACCTACATTCTGCCCAAGAACGTCCTGAAGAAGTTCATCTGCATCTCCGACCTCCGAGCTCAGGTGCCCCCCCGCCCTCCCCCTCCAGGCCTCCTTGACCCCTCCCCTCCCTGGGACACCCAGGGGCCCTCTCCCCTCTTGCCGCCTTGGTTTGCCCGCCAGGGATCAGTTTTAGCTCGAGAGTCTTGCTTGTCTCTTCTCTGCTGCATCGGGTTCTCGACTTGAGCAGGTCCTTGAAAAGGGGGGGGGCAAAGCCAAAACGGCCCCTGGCCTTTGCCAGAGCCTCTTTGACCGAGCTGTGCCTGAGGGTGCCACAAAGAGCGCCCGCACTCTCTGCAGGCCCCAGCCCAGATAGGAGTTCAGCCGAGTTCCTGGTGCAGCCTGGCCTCCCTCCCTCTCCCTCCCTCCCTCCCTCTTTGCCAGGACCCTCGGCTGCGAGTGGCCAGGTGACCCGGCCTCTCTGTCCCCACAGATTGCAGGGTACCTCTATGGGGTGAGTCCCCCAGACAACCCCCAGGTGAAGGAGATCCGGTGTATTGTGATGGTGCCTCAGTGGGGAACCCACCAGACGGTCCACTTGCCCGGCCAGCTGCCCCAGCATGAGTACCTCAAGGTAAGCAATCTCTTTGGGGTGCCCCAGGTGTGTGGGGGGGGGTCGCAGGAGTCTTTGGTTTCTCCAGGGGAGGCAGTTGGGCGCTTCCATCTTGCTGCAAGTGCCCCGTGGGGGGAGGGGAACAGGTAGCAGGGCCTCCGTTCCCTTGACCCTGCTTGACCCCCGGCTTCTCCCCCAAACACAGGAAATGGAGCCCCTGGGGTGGATTCACACCCAGCCCAACGAGTCTCCCCAGCTCTCCCCACAGGACGTCACCACCCACGCCAAAGTCATGGCCGAGAACCCCTCCTGGGACGGGGAGAAGACCATCATCATCACCTGCAGGTGAGTCCGGGCGCTCGCTCGTCTCGGGGGGGGGGCAGGAGAGTAGCCCCAGAGCCGATCGCCCCCCCCCCTTTGCTGACCCGCCCCTTCTCCCGCAGCTTCACTCCGGGCTCCTGCACCCTGACGGCCTACAAGCTGACCCCCAGTGGCTACGAGTGGGGCCGGCAGAACACGGACAAGGGCAACAACCCCAAGGGCTACCTGCCCTCCCACTACGAGCGGGTGCAGATGCTGCTCTCGGACCGCTTCCTGGGCTTCTTCATGGTGCCGGCCCAGGCCTCCTGGAACTACAACTTCATGGGTGAGTGGAGAGACGGGGGTCCAGAGCCCTCCCCCCATCCTCCCCCTGCGGGTCCTGGGTATTGCAACCTGCCTGGTGGGGGGGGCAAGGAACAGCAGGAGCGGCATAAGGAACGGCAGGGGCGCTGCCTCCGTTGGCCCCCCTGCTCACGAGGTGGGAGGGTGTGTGGGGCTGCCCCTTGAGGGAGTCTCTGGCCGTTCTCCCTTGCAGGCGTCCGGCACGACCCCAACATGAAGTACGAGCTGCAGCTGGCCAACCCCAAGGAGTTTTACCACGAGGTCCATCGCCCCTCCCACTTCCTCAACTTTGCCCTCCTGCAGGAGGGGGAGGTCTACTCAGCGGACCGGGAGGACCTCTACTCCTAGCCTGGCCCCCCACCTCCGGCTGACCCCCCCCACCTCCCCGCCCGATCTCGTTGGGCTCCTGCGAAGTGTTTCTGTTTAGTGTCAGTGTCCACGTGGCGTTTCAGTTGTTTAATAAAATTTTGTATACTGTAAAGGTGTGTCTTTTGTGGAACCTCTCTGCTGCTCATCCCCCCCCCCACAACACTCAGCTCAGTTTTGAGGGAGGGGAGAAAAGGGGGGAGCAACCAGAGGGGGGTCCTCGGTCCTTGAAGCGGCTGTGAGTCCAGACCGGCCCTTCCTCCCTTCCCACCCACCGTGATGGGAAAGATTCCGAGCGGAGCCGGCACGGGCAAGGAATGGAGCCCTTTGCCATTGCTGGGCTGGAGCCCCTCCTTGGAGGAAACGCCACTTTTGCTTCCCTTCGAAAGTGAAAGCGGTCACACACACACACCCCACACAACACAACACACCCTTTCCCTTTCCGAGCACTTGCGCTGCTTCTGGCGCGGGGCTTCTGGCTCCGCATCTCCTGCCCCTGGAAGACTCCGGCGGGGGCTTCACCGCCCCCCCCACCTCCGCGCGCTCGCTTCGGATCCGCCCCCGCCCCCCGCGGCAGGCCGAGTCCCGCCAGGGGCGCCTTCGCTCCGGCCGCGAGCCAGGCGGGGCGAACCAGGCGGAAGGCGGAGCGGCGCCTCCTCTTCGCCCGCCGCCGGAGCGCAGTCGCCGTTGGGGCGCGAGCGGGGGAAGCGGCGCCGTCGCCTGTCTGGGGCCGGAGCGCGGTGCCCGGCCGGATGGAGGCGGCCTACGTGTACCGCCTGGCGGGCGCGCTGGGCTCGGAGCTGCAGCGGCTCTCGGACCGCTTCGGGACGGCCTCCCTGGCCGGGCTGGTCCCGCAAGTGGTGCGCCTCCTGGAGCTGCTGGAGACGCTGGCCGCGGACGGGACGCCCCCGGGATCGCTGCTGGGAGCGCCGTCGGACGAGGGACCTCCCGGCGCCGCCGCCGCCGAGCACTCGCGGCAGGTGCGGAGGCCCGCGCGCTCCCCCGGCCGGGAGGGCTCCTGCGTTTCCCCGCTGCCGGCCCGGGCGCGCGGCCTGCCCTGCTCTGTCGCGGGTCAGGAGCGCGCCCTCTCCTCCTCCGGGGGCGACTTGCGCGGAGGGGGGCGGGATAGTGGGGGGCGGGCGAGGGGACCCCTCCGAGGCTGCGCCAGCTCCCCGGGCCGCCGGTTCCCCTCGCGCCGGGCCAGCCCCGGGCAGCCTCCCCTGCGCCGCCGGTCCCGGAGCGCTGGGCGCAGATCGAAGCGGGCGGTGCGCTTCTTCCCCTGGCAGGTGGCGGAGGAGCGGCTAGCCGAGGCCCAGGAGCGGGAGCGGCGCCTCCAGAGCCGGCTGACCCAGCTGGAAGAGGAGCAGCAGCGAGCCCTGAGCCGCCTGGCGCGGGTCCAAGCCCAGGAAGGTGAGGCCGGGCCGGGCCAGGAGGGACTTTCCTCGACGGGGGGGCGGGGGGGGGCAAAGTCTTGGCCGTTGCCTTGGGCCACGGAGGAGGACGGAGCCCAGAGCCCCTCCCTGCTCCCACCTGCTGCTTCCACCTCGCTTGAGTTTTGGGCTGCGGGAACTCCAGCAGCCGTTTGGCTGACTTCCTTGTTTTGGTGATGTGAAGTGCGGGCTGGCCCCATCGGCCTCCCACCAATGGTGGCCCCGAACGGAGCGGGGGGGGGGGAGGGCTGCCTTTCCACAGACCGTGCTTAGCTTGGAAGGCGGCAGTGAGCCATTCCACCCCGTGGGTGTGTTTGTGATGCAGAGAGAGCAGTTGCATCTGCACAACAGGCTTCTCTGTGGCGGGGTGTGCTGTGCAGATCCAGCCTGGCTGCTTAAGTCATTAGCCCAGGTGTGTCCTGCCTGGGGAGGGCGGCAGCCGCCTGGATGGACCAGGAAATAGTCCAGAATCAAGCTGGGCTGGAGAGAAGGAGAGGCGGACGTCCATCACGGGAAAATCCCCGTTACGCATCATGAGTTGCAGATCAGCCAGTAATGAAATCTGGGCATCCAGAGGAGAAAGGCTGGCGTGACCTTTGGTAGGCGCCCATCACACATGCTGGCGCTGCCTTAGAGGATGCCACTCCCTGGGAGGGGAGGGAGGAGAGGCCTCCTCCGTTGGCGTGTCTTGGCGCACGGAGCGCTGCAAGCCGACTCCTTCCTGAGGGAGGGGGTTAAACTCGCCCCAGCCAGCTCGATGGCCAAAGCTCAGAGACTGTAATGTGGTGGGCATGTTTTGGGTTTAGCAGGATATGTGAATTCCACCTAAAAGTTTCCCGCTTAGCTTTTTGTGCAGACCTAGTCAGTTGTGTTTATTTAACAAACGGTGGTTTGAGACTGACAGGACTTTGGAGAGAAAGGGAGATGCTTCCTTCTTTTCCATCGGGTGTCTTGCCATCTTTTGTCTTCCGTCTTCTGTCTAATTGGTTTTATCACAATTTCCCTGCTTGCATTGCTGTGAGCTGTGCAGCGTCATTGGGAGCTTACACGTTCGAACAACAAAAATAAATAAATAAATAAATGCACCCTAGGAATGGTGCAAGGTAATAATTCTTGATTGGAAAAGTAGCTGAAGCGCTGAGGTGAAGAGCGGGGTGGGCTCCCTGGCATCCTCTCTCAGAGCCCCCTTGTGCCAGAGGAACAGGAGATGCTGCCAGGGTACCCGATGTCCGTGGGCAGACGGGGCACATCCTGCCTGCTGCAGCCGGGATGAGCAGCTGTGGGGGGAGGCAAGGTGCTCCTCACTTCCACCCTTCAAGGGCTCCCTTTGCTGGTTACTTTCCGCTTGCCTGGCGGCTTCTCCTGCCCTTGGGTGCTGCCAACGGGAATCAGCCTCGCAAGGTTCCTTCGGCTGAAAGCTCAGGCGAGCGATGGCAAAGCCGAAGGGACCCCACGAAGCCGCTCTCTGTCCTGCCTCAGAGGGCCCTGGTCGCAGAGAGCGGGAGCTGATGCTGCAGCTGAAGGAGGTGGTGGACCATCAGAGGGACAAGATCCGCGCCCAGGACCACGAGATCCAGCACAAGGCCCGGGACACGGAGGCGGTGAGTCCGGGCGGGCCTGGATGGAGGGGAAGCCGAAGGGTGGGGGGGGCTCCCCCCTCCCCCAGTCACTGAGGGCGGTTGTGGGTCTGTCCCCGCAGCTGCAGGAGCAGCTCAACCGCTTCATGACCGTGAACGAGAACCTGCGCCGGAAGGTGGCCGTGGTGCAGGCCCAGCTCAGGAGCGCCCTGGAGAGGAAGGGGGAGGCGGAGGCCCTCTGGGAAGCGGAGAGGCGTGGCAGGGCGGCTGGGCCCGCCAGGACCAGCACCCCCACGGTGAGAGGGACAGGGCAAGTGCCTGAAGGGAGGGCAGAGGGGGCTCAGGGCCCGTGCAACACAGAGGAGCCGGGGGCCCCCTCCACCCGGCTGAACAAGAGCCCTGTGGACAACTACAGTGGCTGCTCCAGCCTTGCGAGGTAGACCAGATTAGAAACTGACTCCATAGGAAGACCCCAGGGAGGTGGGGAGAGCCAGTCTGAGCCTTTTTCTAAGGCTTCCCATCCTGCCTGGCCCTGCCGTCTTTCTGCCCCACTTGAGGGCTTCTGGATGGCTTCTCCAAGGTCATCCTGGTGCCTCCCCACAGCACCGTTGGTCCTTCTGAGTTGGGCTCCAGGTAGCCTTGCGGTGGGGGCAGCGCTGGAGGGGGGGTGTCCCACTGAGGAGCACGAGGCTGAGGGAACCCCGAGTTCAGGCTGGGCGGCTTCCAGGCGAAAGGAGGAAGTGGCGCCCCGGAGCAGGTGGCCAGCAACCGGCTTCGTTTTATTAACCATTTTATTCCTGACTTTCGGTGTGACTCCAGGCTGATCTGGGTGGCTCACGGTGCAAGGCAGTCTAAACGTCCCCCATCTTTCCTCAGGAACAGGAGGAGGGGGATGTAGGAGGGGCTGCAGCCCCCCCAGAACACCCCCCTGACCAGTGCACCTTCTCAAAGGAAGAGCTGCAGCAGATCCTCCAAGAACGCAACGAGCTCAAGACCCGCCTTTTCCTGGTGGAGGAGGAGTTGGACTATTACCAGCGGTCAGTCGGTCTCCCCGGGTACTTTGAGGCGGGGGGGAGGAGGAGGGGGAGCGTCTCTCCTGATGGACCCCCTGCAGCCCCACAACGGCCTTTGCTCCACGAGAGCCGGACTGCTTCAGATTCTGGCAGGGAGGCCCAAGGTGGTCTCCTGACAGGGAGCAGCTGCTGCAGGGTCCTCTATATGGGGGGTTGAGGTGTCCAGCCCTGCTTAAACACCTCCGCCCCCCCCCCAGGCCCCAGCCCTCAAGCCAGTTAAAGAGCACTTCGTGTTCAGAAATGCTTCCCGTCAAAATCCTCCTGATTTAAACCCTTTGTTTCTCTCCTTCTGGGGTCAGCTCGGAAATTTTCACTTGATCATCCACTTGGTCGCCCTTTGGGGCTTGAAGATGGCTGCCCCGTCTCCTTGTGGCTCTCTCTTCTTTGGGAAGCTTCAGCTTGCCAGGCTCTTCCAAGAGAGGCAGGGCCCCTTTGCTCCTTCCCGCGGGCTCACCTGGAGATAGGCTAACAGAATAACAGAGTTGAAAGGGACCTTGGGGGTCATCTAGTCCAACCCCCTGCTCAGGCAGGAAAAACTATGCCATTTCAGACAAATGGCTGTCCAGTCTCTTCTTAAAAACTTCCAGTGTTGGAGCGTTCACAACTTCTGGAGGCAAGGAGTTCCACTGGCTAATTGTTCTAACTGTCAGGAAATTTCTCGTTAGTTCTAGGTTGCTTCTCTCCCTGATTAGTTTCCATCAGTTGCTTCTTGTCCTGCCTTTGGTTGCTTTGGAGAATAGCTTGACCCCCCCCCCTCTTCTTTGTGGCATCCTCTTTGATATTGGAAGACCCATATCATGTCACCCAAAAAAACCATGTTTGTTTTAAGCTAGAGGAAACAGTGAAAGAAGCTGGTCCTTTAGGCGAGGGAAAAGGAGAGAATTAACATAGTTCTCCTGAGCCTCTAATAAAAGAAGCTTTTTAAAAGCTCAGGAAACAAGCAAATATGTTTGCTTCAGGAATCTGATTATCCGTAAAAAATGGGGTTAAAATGTTTAGCCAGAAAACTGCATTTGAATTTTGAACATTGGCGTATGTTAAGCCTTGTATGTCTCTACAAGTAGAAAATTCTTTGTGATCAACTTTTTTAAAAATTCCTAACTTTTGCATAACGGAAAACTACTTTTCACTAACTTCTTTTGAGCTAAAATATAATTTACAAGCAGTTTCATTTCTGAGTTCACTAATTGGATCACTGCATCTTTTTTTTAATCTCATGTATAAACATTATTTTATCATGGATGGGTTACCCTGATCCTAACTCTTTCTTCCAAATGGGAATGTTTACATTTTAATACCTAAACATAAAAAGAGTTATTGCATTTTCTTTTTTTTAAAAGTAAAGTTTGATTTTATTTATTGGCGGCTCTCTCTCAAGGAGTTAGGAGAACAGCAGAAACCTCTAATTGCATGACTTTATACTCTGCAGTCAAGAGGTTGCATTGTATAAATTATTGTCGGCTGTGCAGTCAGCCACTGGATTTGGCATTTTTATCCACCTATCAAGTCCTTCCCAAGGACCTGGGATGGGCAGATGTGGTGGTCTTAAGGGTCTCGTCGCAGGACATGAGCTGTTCCAAGTAAAGCTGCCTTTTGCAATTGACTGGTGGTGAATTTGTCGATGCCAGTGGTGTTCAAGTGGTGCTTCAGTTGTTTTGGGATTGCACCCAAGGTGCCTATCACCACTGGTGCTACCTTTGCTTTCTTTTGCTACAGTCGTTTTATTTCTGTTTGCAGGTCTTTGCATTTTGTTATCTTCTCCAGTTCTTCTTCTTCTCTTCTGCTGTCTCCAGATACTGCGGTGTCCACTATTCAAACTTTTTTGTTTTACTTACCAACAATTGTTAGGTCCGGGTTGTTGTGTGGCAGGAGCCTGTCTGTTTGAATTCTGAAGTCCCAGAGCAATTTAGCTTCTTCACTTTCTATGACTGTCTATATTTTGTGATCCCACCAGTTCTTGCTTGCAGGCACGTGGTGCTTCTTGCAGATCTTCCAATGCACCATTGTTGCTACTTTGTCATGCCGCTGCTTGTAGTCTGTGCGATCTTCTTGCAGCAGTTTGCCAGGTGGTCAGCTGTTTCTTCGGCTTCTTTGCAGAGGCGGCACTTGCCACCTTCCCAAAATGTGGTGCCCAGATCTGGATGGGGCATTCTTAGTACAAGCTGACCAGTGGAGAACAGAGAGGAGAGCACTGGTGTCTTTTGCAGCTGCCTCATGGTCTTGGCTCACGTTTAGCGTGTGACCAAAACCTGAATGCAACAATCCAGATGTGGCCCTACCAAGGCCTCGTAAAGCGGTACTAACACTTCATGTGACCTTGATTCTATCCCCCCGTTGATGCAGCCCAGGACTGCGCTGGCTTTTTTGGCTGCTGCCGCACACGGCTGGCTCATATTTAAGTGATCGTCTCCACTAGGACTCCAAGATCCCTGTTGCAGTTGCTAGAGGAGGCCTATATTTCCTTCCCCTCCCCCTCCCCCCCACCCCACACCACTCCTGAGACTGAGCTGCTTCTGCCCTCCAGGGAGCTGCTTAATGGGGAGCGGGTCCCTGCCCTCCTCCTGCATGCAGTGAAATCTGCCATCAAGAAACAGCGCAAGAAGATCTGGGCCAAGATGCTGGGCACCGAAGAGGAGCCGACGGGCAGGTGGGTCCCTTGGCAGCCCTCGGCCAGCTGTTTTCCCCAGCTGTTTCCCTCTCTCTGTCTCTCTCTCTCTCTCTCTCTCTCTCACACACACACACACACACACACACACTCATAAACTCTCACCCTCTGGCCTCACTCTGTGGTCTCCCAGTAGCCACAAAGGATCTGGCAGTCCAGCTCCCCTTGGCCTGGACAGGTCAGAAGCCAATAGGACCTGGCCTCTTGCACACCTGTTCCTGGAGCTGGGGAGGGGAAAGGGGGCTTGTTAATCTGCCCTCCTCTGGGTGAAGAGAGGCCATTTGGCTAGACAGCCTGGGAAAGAAAGAATAATGGCTGCCCCTGAACATTTTGCCAGGCTGGGCTGGGCTGACTCACCTTATAAATCCGTCTCTTTATGATCAGCTCCAGAGTCTTGGCAGGTGGAGAGGTGAGGCTGGCCGCTCTGTAGCTCCCGGCATTGACCGGAAGGTGGGGCCGTGCTTGTTCTGCAGCCATGCAAGGCAGGTTCTGCAAAAGAGCGCAGGAAGGCTGGAGGCAGCGAACCTGATTCCTCACATACGTAGTTTCTCCAACTTGGTTCCGTCTTAGAAATAACCCGGTTTGGTAGCATAATTTCACAGAACGAGATGCGTGTATCCTTCCGTTGTTTGTAAGGACTCCGTTATTTCGACTCCTGTGGTTGCAGATGGGAAATAGAGGAAAAGCAGCCAGTATAGGAGGAAGTTCGTTAACGAGGGTGCAAAATTAAAGGGAGAAAGATGCAAACTAGCCATTCATCTAATGGGGTGGCCCAGGTGGTCCAGAGGTTCTAGCAGTGGCAACACTCCAGGGAAATGGGGACGCCCCACAATTTCAGCACATGCACGCACGCACGCGCGCACACACACAGAGAGCTCATTGAGGTGTCTGCAATGCCTGCTCTATTCTGCTCTGTTTCAGGGAGGAAGAGGAGGAGGAGGAGGATGGTGAGGGGTGGCCGATAGGCTCTCCTGGCTCTGACCACACAGATGGCCACCTGCCCGAGTCCAGGATCAAGAGCTTGTAAGTCTGGGCTGGACAGAGGTGGGGGCAGTTGCTGGGCTGGGAGGGAATCCTGCCAGGGTCCCGAGACGTCTCTCTGGGGACAAGGAGAAGTGAGCAGACCCCCCCCCAGGCCTGGCAGGCTCTTCTGGGAGACCCTCCCTGGGAAGGTGTAGCTTTTCACTTGTGGATGAAGCAGCTTCGGACGGGGTTCCTTTCCCTGTCCAGCCTAACATCCTGGAGGCCTTGGCTGTTGTGTGGGGGGTGGGGTGGGGCTGAAGAGGTGGAGTTCAAGGTTGGCCTCCTCTCTTCAGCCAGACTCTTTGGCCTCCGGGGGGGGGGTGCAGGTTAGCCCTTGGTGAACTCCTAGGTTCTGGGTGACCCCAATAAATCCCACCAGGCCCCTTTTCTCTCCTCAACCTGAGGAACTCTGGATTGAGAGCAGAGGAGCTCTGGGCTCCCCCAGTGAGAGAATCGCCCTTTTGCATGCATCTGTCTATTTATATCCCACCTTTATTTTTTTATGATTAACTCAAGGTGGTGAATACTGTACTCCTTCTGCCTTTTATTCACCCCCCCAACACCCTCCCTGTGAGGCGGGTTGGACTGAGAGACAGCGATTGGCCCAAAGTCACCCAGCCGGCTTTCATGCCTAAGGCGGGACTAGAACTCACCCTCTCCTGCTTTCCAGGCCAGCATCTGTTTAGAATAAATTCTATTTGGAATAATAACAGAGTTGGAAGGGGCCTTGGAGGTCGCCTAGTCCAGCCCCCTGCCCAAGCAGGAGACCCTACACCATTTCTGACAGGTGGCAGTCCAGTCTCTTCCTGAAAGCCTCCAGGGATGAAGCCCCAACAACGTCTGAAGGCAACTTCTGTTCCACTGGTCAGGAAATTTCTCCTTATTTCCAGGTTGAATCTCTCCTTGATCAGTTTCCGTCCGTTATTCCTTGTCTGGCCTTCAGGTGCTTTGGAAAATAGGTGGAACCCCCTCCTCTCTGTGACAGCCCCTCAAATATTGGAACACAGATATCATATCTCCCCTGGTCCTTCTCTTCACTAGACTAGCCATGCCCAGTTCCTGCAACCGTTCTTCGTATATTTTAGCCTCCAGCCCCCTAATCATCTTCATTGCTTTTCTCTGCACTTTTTCTAGAGTCTCAACAACTTTTTTTATAGTGTGGAGACCAAAACTGGTTGCAGTGTTCTAGGTGTGGTCTTACTAAGGCTTTATACAGTAGTATTAGTACCTCACGTGATCTTGATTTAATCTCTCTGTTAATGCAATTTAGGATTGCACTGGCTTTTTTGGCTGGTGCCCCACACTGTTGGCTCATATTTAATTGATTGTCCACTAAGACTCCAAGATGCCTCTCACAGTTGCTGCTATTAAGCCTGGTTTGACCCAATCCATGTGTGTGCTTTTGGTTTTTCTCCCCTAAGTGTAAGATTTTACTTTTCTCTATGTTGATAGGGCCCAGCGTCCAAGTCTGTCATGATCCCTCTGGATCTTGAGCCTGTCTCTCCGGGGCATTGGCTATTCCTGCCAGCTTAGCATCATCTGCAGATTTGATGATTTCCCCTTCTGTTCCCTCACCTAGATTGGCTTGGGGCACAGAGGGGCATGGGGTGCGTTGACCATATCTCTGCCCACGTGCAGCTTTTCCCACAGCCCCTGCTCCAGTGGCTCCTCGGCCGGGAAGCAGAGGGGCACCAGTGGCGGAAGCGATGGCCAGAGAAATTTCCTTGCTCTCTGTTCTCAGGGGTCTCCTCTGTGTCTCTTCCCTCCCAGTTTCAGCCAATGGTATCACAGAAGCGCCCAGCCCAGCCCCACGGAAAGCAGGCCTGGAACCTGGGAGATCATCACTGCAGAAGATGTGGGTCCGGGGGAAGAAGAGAACGAAGAAGCGCCCCCCGGTGGCTCCTCTTCCCCAGCCCCAACCTCCCCGCTTCCTTGAGCCGGGACACCCACGGCTGGACTTGCAGCGCTGCCCTTCTGGGCTCCCGGAGAGACGCTTGGGGGAAGTGCTGACCCGGCTTTGCCAGCAGCCTGGGGGCCCTGCCCTCCCAGACCCCTCACCCTCTCCCTGCGCAGAAGGCGGCCAGAGGCTGCCCTGGGGGTGCTGTGCCCAGAACCGGCTGCCTGGCCTCCGCCCGCCCTCCCTCCACGCAGGGTTGCGCCTTCTGGGAACCGCCTGGAAGAAGAGTTGTACGTTGCCCTGCGCCTGCAGTCTCCCAGGACGACCAGCAAGTGTGCAGCCTTAAATTTTAACACCAAAACAATGACAATAAAACCGAAAACATGCAGGTGGGCATGAAGACCCTCCTTGGGAGGAAGCGGAAATCAGCCCCCCCATCTGTGATGGAAGCAGAGGGAGGGGCAGGGCAGGATGTCTTACCCCCACCAAGATGCTCCCCCCGCCAGTTTCCACTCAAAACAAGCCTTTTGTGCAAATCTTAAAAGTGGATAAAGCACCCCTTCCTTCTCCTGAAGGTGGGGGCAAGCTGGAAGTCCCAGAACCCCCCCCCCAAGATGCAACTCCTGGTGCTCCCCTCCCTTTCCCTGACCTGAGGGGAAGCTGCAGGTCAGCCTGCTCTGGGGTGCTCCCCTCCTGTGCCCAGGAAGGCCTCAAGAGGAAGCTGCACTGCTTGGACAGAGACGGGGGGGGGGGGAGCTGGCAGAAGTAGAGGTCAGTCATGGGGGGGGAGACTCCTGCTCAGGGGTGAGCCCCCCAACACGGAAGGGGCAGCCGATCTGGCTCCAGAGAGGGACTAGCACACAAAGTTCTTTAGCTTGGAACAAAATGAAGTTCCGTTTTGGTTGTTGACCGCTTCTGCCCCTGCCCTGCTCTCTCGGACTCCAGCCTGTCCAAACAATCCGGGTCCAGAGGGGCCCCGGCATTCCCAGAGCCTCCAACCCTTCGGGGCCTGTGAAGGCTGCGGGCAGCTCAGCCTCGGGTTCTGCCAGAAGTCACAGCCCGGAGAGGTCCCCCTGGTGGGCTGAGGCTGGGCGGTGGGGGGTCGCCTTCTGCAGAGGTCCCCGGGGAGCCTGGGAGGGAGGGAGGGAGGGGCCCGGGAGTCTTGAGGCCAGAGATCCCGCCGATCCTTTCGGCCTCTGGGGCGACCGTGCTCCCCGCCCCCCCCCTTCCTCCTCTGCCCGGCCGGCTTCCTCAGGAAGGGCCGCAGGAAACAGGCGGGAGGCGCTGCTGCGCGGAGGGTCGCGGCCGCCCGACTTCTCCCAGCCGGGCCCCGGGACGATGGAGCGCCGCTGGGCTCTGCTGCTGCTGTGGCTCGGCCTGCCGGGTTCTGGGCGCGGCTCCCCGGAGCTGGAGCCCGGGGGAAGGCACGTGTGCCCGGCGGAAGACAGGTAGGGGGGAGCCAGCCGGCCCCGCTTCGCCGACGGCCGCCCGTGCGCTCCGCTCTGGCCGGTCGGGGGAAGGCCGGGGGTGGCGGGCGCCTCCGCTCCAGGGACCGGCGGGGCTTCGGGGGGGGGCGGGCGCCTTTCGGCCTTGGCCTGCTGGCTGCGGCTCTCCCCCGGCCGTCGCCCGCGCCTTCCCTTTCCGCCCGTTCTTTCCCAGCTCCGCTACGGTCCGCCCGAGGCCCCCGCGGACCGGCCGGGAAGGCAGCCGCTTGCCGGGGCTATTGTGGAGCCTCGCTCCTCCGTCCGGCCAAGAGCCCGGAGCAGCGCCGCTTCGCCTCGGAGCGCGCCGGACGGTCCTGCTCGGCCGCGTTTTTCTCCGGGAGAACTCGGAAGGGTTTTCCCGCACCTTAAGGGAGGAGGCGGGTGGCTCCGCCGAGGACGGGCCGGGCCGGGTGCCGGTGGGGGCCGGTGGCTCAGGTTGGGCTCCCGCTCTCTCCGGCTAAGAGCGCGCTCTCTCCCGCTAGTCTGCCGCCCGCCCTCGTCTGCTGCCCGGGATGGGAGCAAGCGGGGCCCGAGTGCCCCCTCGGTGAGTTGCTGTCCCCCGGGGGGGGCTCCTGCTCGCACCCCCACCGCACCCCCCCGGAGGACCGGCAGGGACCCGGGCCCGACGCGGTTCCTTCTGCCCCGGGAACGCCCCTCCGGGCCGAGAACGGTGGCCGCTGTGCTGACGCCTTGCGCCCCCTTCTGGGTCCCCTCGGACTCACCTCGCCCCCCGCTCTCCCCGCAGCCCTCTGCTTGGGCGCCGAGGCCTGCCTGGAGCGGGAGGTCTGCGTTCGCCCGTCGGTCTGCCGCTGCCGGCCGGGCTTCTTCGGGGCCAACTGCAGCGCCCGTGAGTACGGCCCAGTGGGGGAGAGCCAAGAAAGCGCTCCCCCAACTCAGGGGGGTCGGTAGGCAACCCCGGATCCTCCCCTTTTACCTCCCTCCCGCTCTGCGTGGGGACCATCAGGAGTGGGCGACTCATGACCCCCACCCAAACCCTGCCTTGCCCGGCCCTGTTTGGGTCCACGCCCTGGCCACGGACCGGCTTCCCCCACCCCCGCGATCCCCTTTGCCTGCCTGGGCAGGAAAGCACTCCAAAGGTTGGCACCTGGACGGGCGCTGGGGTCCATGGCCACTTGGCTCCTGGGAGAGACCCTGCTGCCGGCCAGGCTTACAGTGGGGGGAGGGGGCTGGTCCAGGGTTTGAGGGGTGCTGTGCTTCTCTTTCAGGGTGCCCGGAGCAGTTCTGGGGCCCGGACTGCAAGCAGAACTGCCGCTGCCACCCCCACGGCCGCTGCCATCCAGCCAGCGGAGAGTGCAGTTGCCACCCGGGCTGGTGGGGGCTGCTCTGCCAGTCGGCCTGCCTGTGTGGGCAGCGAGGCCACTGCCACCCTGTCACAGGCACCTGCCGGTGTGATCCAGGCTGGTGGGCCCCTGACTGTCGGAGGCAGTGCCAGTGCAATCTCTTGGGTTCCCGCTGTGATCCGGCCACCGGCCGCTGCCTCTGCCATCGGGGCTGGTGGGGCAGGCGATGCGCCTCTCTCTGCAGCTGCCACGGATCGCCTTGTGCCCAGGAATCTGGGCGATGCGAATGCACGGCAGGATGGTGGGGGCCGGCCTGCCAGCACCTGTGCCAGTGTGTGCACGGCCTGTGCGCACCTCAGGATGGACGCTGCACCTGTGATGCTGGCTACAGAGGCCCCAGCTGCACAGAGCCCTGCCAGAGGGGCACTTACGGACCCCAGTGTGCCCACAGGTGAGGAGCCTGTGACTCAGGGGAGCCAGGCGTGTCCTTTGCCCGCCCAAAGCGGGCCGAGGGAAGAGCAGAGAAGCTGAGCGCTGGGCTGTTTGTGTGCCACCTGTGCTATTTCTCTCCTGCCCCTGCAGCTGCGGCCACTGCAGGAACCGACAGCCCTGCTCCCCCGTGGAGGGGGCCTGCTTGGCCTGTGACCCTGGCTGGAATGGGACCCACTGCCGGCAGCCGTGCCCTCTGGGGCTGTATGGAGAGAACTGCACGCAGCCGTGCCCCCGCCACTGTCGCCAGGGAGAGACTTGCCATCCGCAGACAGGACGATGCCGGAACTGCGAGGCTGGATTCGTGGGGGCCAGGTGGGGCTGGGAGCCTGGGCCCTCTGCACGGGCAGCAGGGGCCTTCCTGGCTGCCAGAAATTGGGAGGGAAGCGAGCAAGCGCAGCAGGAGAAGCCTTGCAGAGCTGGGGGGGGGTTGCCAGTTGGAATTGGCCCCTGCCCAGAGAGGGCCCTGTCCTCTCCTCACTTCTGCCCCTCAAGCCCCCCCCCATGGCTTTGCTGCAGGTGCGAGGCCCCCTGTCCCCCCAGCTTCTTTGGAGAGGGCTGCCAGTCCCCTTGCCCCGACTGCTTCCACGGGAGCTGTGATCCTGCCTCCGGGACCTGCCTCTGCCAGCCTGGCTACTGGGGCTCCAGGTAACGAGATGGGGCGGCGGCAGGGATGTCCTGCTTTCCCCCCCCCCCCACGCCCATGCCCCATTTTCTCTCTGACTCCTTTGCAGCTGCAACCAGACCTGCCCGGAAGCCTTCCATGGGCCCAACTGCTCCGCAGCCTGTCCCTGTACAGGGGGACCGTGCCACCCCCTCTCCGGGGACTGCCAGCGGGGTGAGTCTCCCTTCCCTGGGCTGGGGCTGGGGCTGAACCAGAAGGCGCCCCCTGGGGAGGGGGTCTTCCTCGCTCCTCTGACTTTTACCCTCCTCTGCCAGGAGTCCAAGGCCGGGGGGCCCTCCTGGCAGGCATCCTGGGGCCCCTCCTGCTCCTGTTCCTGCTGGGCTGCTGCTGCTGCTGCTGCTGCTGCTACGGCCTCCATGGGGCAGCCTCTGTGGACAGGTGAGAGCCCCACACACACAGAGCCAGAAGAAGGCCTGGACAGAGCCAGAAGAAGGCCTGGACAGGGGAAATGGGGGTCCCCCCGGTCTGAGCGCCCCCTCTTTCTTAGGGCGCCAGGGGCCGAGCAGGATCGCTTCCCTCCAGCGAAGCACCGCCTGGTGGCCCTGTTGCCCAGCATCCCTTCCAGCTTTCCCTGCTTCTCACGAGGGGGCTCCAAGCTTCCACGGGTGACAGGTGAGGGGCTGCCCACAAGCACAAGCTTCTGCAGGAAGGGGTCTGTATTTCTGGGCCCCCCTGCTTGCCTGCTGTCCCAGAAGCCGAGGGGGGGGGGTGTCGAGGGGCAGGGCCTGGGGTGGGAAGGGTGGTGCCTGACAGCCAATCCCTGCTCTGATGCTTGTCCTCTCCCAGTCACCCACCGAGACCCGGAGGCGCCCTTCAACCCCAGTTTCATCGAACCAACATCTGCTGCCTGGCCCTCGGACAGCTCCTTCTGCTCCTCCTCCTCCGAGGGAGTCAGCAAAGAAAGGGGGGGCTGCCAAGGGCCGCAGTCTGCTCTCCCCCCCAGTGAAGGTAGGAGTGCCAGTGGGGGGGAGAGGTAGGGGATCCCCTCCCCAGTGAGCCTAAATCTTGCCATCACTGTGCTAAAGGGTCTCAGCGCCAAGCCAGGGAAAAGCAGCCTCTGGGCCCAAAGACACTTTGAGCAAGTCCCCAAATGTCCTGCTCTGATTTCGCTGCTGCTGATCCCTTGGGAGGGAGGGAGGGAGGGAGGGAGCTTGCAACAGAATAACAGAGTTGGAAGGGACCTTGGAGGTCTTCTAGTCCAACCCCCTGCACAAGCAGGAGACTGTTCTGGACAAATGGCTGTCCAGCCTCTTCTTGAAAACCTCCAGAAGTGATGGAGCACCCACAACTTCTGGAGGCAAGGAGTTCCACTGGATAATTGTCCTCACAGTCGGGAAGTTTCTCCTTAATTTCAGGTTGCTTCTCTCCTTGATTAGTTTCCATCCGTTGCTTCTTGTCCTGCCTTCAGGGGCTTTGAAGAATAGGTGGACCCCCCCCCTCTTCTTTAGGGCAGCCCTCCTCATGGCGGGGGTGGGGGGGATGCTGCGGCCCTGCTATGGGCTTGGCTCTGGCCTGAAGGACGGGGGCTGCTGGTGCCTAATGCACAGAGGAGGCTCAGCTGTAGGCATGCCATGACCTCCAGGTGTGGTGGGATGAGGCCCCCCAGGAGGCCAGCTCAGCTATGCTCCTTGCACCTCCACACCTGGCTGGGGGTGCAGAGACTGTATTGTGTTAGTGTCCCGCTAGAGTGAACCCAGTCCAGACTTTTTTTTTTTTTTAAATCCCTTTTTCTGCTCTTTCAGCCTTGCCAGAGTGCAGCCTTCTCCCCGAGGCAACACCGGTGCACCCCTCGCCCTTTGCCATCCCTCGCACCTCCAGCATCGCCAAGGGCAAGCGGCCCTCCGTCTCCTTTGCAGAAGGGACCCACTTTGGCCCTCAGGGCCTCAGGGCCCCCCCAGAGGCCCTCAGCCCTGCCCGGAAGCCAACGGCCTCTGAGAGCTCAGTCCCAGGTGCTCCTCCTCTGCAGGGGGCCTCAGGCCTCTCCCCGGGCAGAAGCTGCTACGAGAACATGGCACCGACTCCCTGGGAGGACAGTGGCCGGGCCTCTGCAGGCCACCCTCCCAGAGGTCACGGGAGCTGGGCTGGCGGCTCCCGGCCCCTGGCGCAGAGAGCGGAGCCCCCGGAGGCAGCCGCTGTGGAAGCTTGCATCCATGAGCCCAGCATCACCACCATTTACGTGACCGTGGGCCAAGCTGGAAGGGGCAACAAAGACCCTCCGCTGGCCGTCCCACAGCATTGGGGGAGTGGGCAGCAGGAGGCCACCTGGCCAAGGAGCCTGAAGAAGCTGCCAAGGAAGTTGGCCGCGGAGACGGGCCCTGGCATGGCTGAAGCTCAAGGCCTGCTGGCCCCTGACGAGAAGGTGGAAGGTGGAGGGAGCAGCAGCAGCCTGGACCCATGAGTCCCCTGGAGGGGCTCAGCCAGGGAAGCAAACGTGCCCTGCCTCTGGGTTTGCCCCAGCACCCTCCCACAAACAAGGGGGGAGCGAAGCTTCAAGGGGTCCTGCGTGGAGGAGGCCAATCCTGCTGGGCCCCAGGAGGGATTGGGCCCCTAACCTTCCATCTTTTGGGAGGCCGCCCTCGCCACTGGAAACACTTGAACCCGGAGCCTGCCTGTGGTTGCCTGACGCCCCACGGAGCCCTTCCTTTCCCTTCTGCTCAGAAAAGAGTCTTTGGCAACAGTCTGGCATTCGGATAGATGCCTCCCCTGCTGCCCACAGCTGGGCTCTTTTGCCCGTGGGCACCCAGCCTTGGAAGGGCCTGGGGAGCTGCCAGTGGTGGCCAGCAGGGGGCACTTGCCTCTGGCAGAGCACCAGCCTCACCCGGGAGTCTCCGACAGAGGCTGGGCGTCTGCGGAGGCTGGAGGGGCCTTTTGCCCCAAGCCTCACTGGGAGCCCCCCCCCCCCCGATCAAGACCCCCGGAAGACCTGAACAAAACATTCATCAAAAGGACGGAGGAGAGTTATGACAGCAGTAACTGTATGGGCTCATAATTGGGATTAAAATGATTCTAGCTTGACTAATAACCACGGTTACTTCTTCCTGGCCTGTCCCCTTGCTGGTCTGTGGCAGTCAACGGTGGTTTATGGTTAACTAAACCGTGGTTTATAATTTATGGTTCACTAAACCTTGGATTAGTTAGTGCAGTCTTTTGGGCCCACATGATATGCTGAACCCGACTTCTGCCCAGAGCACAAACGGAAGCATTGAGATGCCGGCCTAGGACGTGTGTTTCACACCCCCTTGGCCCTTGGGGGGTAAGGAGGGCCCCTGATTAAAAGGTCAAATCTGAGCACCCTTTGCACCCCGAGCCCACCTCCCCTCTTTGGTGGAAAAGTCCTCACTCCTCCTGGGTCCTCCGAAGGGTGCCTGATCTTGCCTCTGAATATTATCACAACAACATCTCAGGTCCTTCAACGCGGTTTGAATGAACACACCAGACCAATGTTGCAGTTTGTTGCCTGGCTTCACAATCACAACTATGCCACGTGCAAGGTGCCGGTGTGAAAAGCCATGCTGCCACTGTCCAACTCTCTTCTCAGGAGGGGCAAAAACCTCTTCAAGAGCACAGCAGAAAATTGTGGAAGAAGTCACAAAGAGTCCCAGGACAACTTCTGGGGGGTCTGCAGGCCCCTCTCACCCTGGATAAGGTCACGTGTTCCGTTTTTACCACCCCGATGCTCCTCTCCAGTTGGCTAAAAACACCTGGATGGCCCTCCAATCTTCCGGAGGGTGCACGCACACACGCACACACACCCTGACAAAGACCCCAGAGGGGAGCAGGGCTACCGGCAGGCAGGCAGGCGGGGATGTGTGAGCGTTTGGGGGGACTTGGCTGCCTCAGGACCCGAGCAACCGGCCCTCCTTCAGGGAAGCGCCTGTCGCCCTGTGGCGGAGGAGCCCCGGGAGAATTCCGGTCCGCCTGTCAGGCTGAAGCACAAGCGGGGGAGGCGACCAGGGGGCGCTTCAGACGGATCATCTGCGAGGTGGAGAAATTCACGGCTTTGGAAGCCGCCCGGCCAGAGCCCCGACCGATCCCCCGGGCAGAGAGGCGCCGACCGCCTGGGACCTCTCAGCCGAAGCTTCCCTGCGAAGGGATGGACCGGCGGCCGCCTTTGTTCACCAACCCAGCCGGGAAAGAGGAGCACCGGCGCGGGGACTTTTTGGTCACGGCGATCGCCCTCAAGAGCGGGGCCGCCGGGGAGGGAATCCGAGGGCAGCCCGGGTTGCGTGCCGGAGGCGACAGGCCCCGCTCGGAGGGACGCCTTTGCTCAGGGCCCCGGAAGAATCCGCAGGAGAGCTCCGGCGACAGCCGCGGGCAGGCAGGCAGGCGAAGGCGGGACCCGTAGCCTCCGAGGGGCGCCCGACGCCCTTCGCCCCGGCCCCGGCCCGTCTCTGCCAGGCGGCGGCAGTTGCGGGGCGGGGGGCGGGTCGTCCTGCTGGGACGCCGGGGGGGGGAGAGAGGGGCGCCCTGGGGAAGCTCCTTTCCTTGCTCCCCCCCCACACACCCGGGTCCCTGCCCTTCCTTCTCCCGGTACAGGCAGCTCCGCGGAGCTCGGCGGGGGCCAAAGACGACCCCCGGGGCTCCGTCGGAACCGTCCGGCGCGCCCGAGGCGATTCTAGCGCTGAGGCTCCGCGGAGCTTAAGTTCAACGGCCGCCTCCAAAGCAGAGGCCTCACGGGCGAGGGCCGGCCTGTCCGGCCAACGTCGGCCAGGATCCGGAGCAAGTATCGAGGCTGGGACTTAAGACTTACGCCCGGCGAAACGAAGCGACGCCGGCCTACGGAGAGCGCGAAAACGGGAGGGTCGCCGAGGGAGCTACGCGTGGCCGGCCGTTCCGCGGGCTCCAGCGGGAAAGGGAGCCGCAGCCCCCCCACACACACACACACACCGCGCGCCCCTCTCGGCAGGAGAGCCCGCTTGCCCGCCTCGCCACCTTGGCTTGGCGGCGCGCTGTCCGATTGGCCGAGACGCGGCGGCTGGCAAGGCGCCGGGGCCAATCAGCGCCGCCTGGCTCCCCCTTCCCGCCTCGCGGCATAAAAGACGCGGCGCTGCGCCGGGCACGAAGCAGCAGAAGCGTCGCCACCGCGTCCGCAGCCTCGCAGCGCCGGCCGGATCCAGCTGGGCAGCCAGGTGATCGCACGGGGTGGGCGCCGGCCCGGCTGGAGCACGCTGGGGAGGGACGCGGGGGGGAGTCGCTTGGCTTCCTTCCGCGGGGAAGGACGGATCTCTGCAGGGCCTCCGCTCCCTCCGCGTTTCCCAGCCGGCCTCCGGGACTCCCGTTGCCCCCGTTGCCGCGTCCGCCTGTCCCTTGCGCCCGAGTGGGAGGAATAGGCTCAGAGAGAACCCCCCCCCCAACTTCGGGCTCTTGTCCTGCACCCCCCACCCCGGGGGCAAGCAGACATCCAAAGCGGGTGATTTCCCCCCCGGGGATGTGTTGGTTTAGAGAGCCCCCCTCCTCCCCCAAAGGGCCGGGTCTTTGGCGAGACACTCAGCGCGGTGTCCCAGCCCCCCCAGTAGGAGATCAACTGTTGAAGTGGGGCGGGGTCCTTGCTAGCCCACTTCCATCCCAGGTGGTCTTCATGAGGCCCCCTGCGCCCCCACCCCAAGGTTTCCAGACATTGGGTGTTTCGGTTCAAGGCGTCTACATAGGGGGGGTCGGTTGATCTATTGTGACCAACCCGTCATAGGACGGGGCCCTTCCTTCCCCTTCTGCCCTCCTCCCCCGCCGGAGCTCCTCTTGTTCTGCCCATTGTCCGGGCTTTGGGGCCCCTGATGAGGTGGCCGCAGGGCCCGGGGCCTTTCCAGTGTCACAGCTCAAGCTGCCCAGAGGCCTCTAGACGGGGGGGGGGGTCGCATCAGTTAATCTCGGGTCCTTTTGTGCTTCCCTGTTTCGGCTCCCTCTCTTGTCTCCCCCGCCCCACTTCTGCTTTTCTCCTAAGCAGCTGGGCCAGGCACCCATTCCCAGACCCCCCCTTAACTCTTTCCCCCTTTTCCCCAAAGCTGCTGCTAGCTGTGAAGAGAAGGAGCAGGCCAGCCCATTGGGGCATTTCCCCCCCCCCACCCTGCCCAGACCCCCCCAGGAGTAAATCTAGGGGCACTTTGGGGGTGTTCTGGCCAGGGGCATCCCTCTTTGCCCCCCTCCCCAGCCACTCTTTTATTTTGCTGTCTTGAATGACTTGGCCCCACCTAAGCCCCCCCCCCCCCATTGCCAGCCGGCCATTGGCTGCCTCTGGATCATTTTGACTTCCCTCCACTGCTGTCCGGGCACTTGGCCCCCCCTTCCTCTGGTTGAGCCACATTGCTGACCTATCATGCTGACCTCATCCTCTTATCCCAAGGCTGATAAGTTTATCCAGTGCTTTGGAGAAGTCCCGATAAAATAAATCAAGGGTTTGGACCCTTAATCTTGCTGCTGCTTGATCCAATCTCTGCCGGCTGAGCTTCCCTCCTCCCAGCACCCTTTAAAGATCCCCTTGCAGGGACCTTCTGCTGGCTGCCTGGATCGGCCCTCAGCCGCTGGCCAGTCTCTTCTCCCACCAATCCCCTCTGAGCACGAACATTTTGGGGCTCTTGAGAAGAAACGGGGGGGGGGGTTAGCTGGCCCGGCTGGAGAGTGGGCACCAGGATGAGTTGTCCAAGAATGGGCCTGGCTGCTTGGGGGAGGGTGGACTCTGCTTTGCTGGAAGCGTTTAAGCAGAAGCTGGATGACCCTCTGCTGGGGGATTTGCAGGAGCGGCCAGATGATCTCTGAGTTCCTTTTCTACCCTACGGCTCCTTTCATTCTTTTTAAGCTGCGTCTTCTGAGAACGTTTGGGGAGGAATGGGGGTGAGGGTGCTGGGAAGAGGCAGCAGCCATTGTCTGGAAAGAAAGGGAGCCCCAAAGGAAAAAAGGGGCTCAAGAAAAAACTTTGTGTGCCCACAGATCAGAAGACCCTCCTGGTGAAGAAGAGCACCCCCACCTGCTGCCGCCCACCATCATGGCTCCCACTCTTGCCACAGCCCACCGGCGCCGCTGGTGGATGGCCTGCACGGCCGTCGTGGAGAACCTCTTCTTTTCCGCCGTTCTCCTGGGCTGGGGATCCCTCCTGATCATGCTCAAGTCGGAGGGCTTCTACTCCTACCTCTGCTCCCTCCCAGGTAAGAAGCCCCTTCGTGGGCTGGCCGGCCCTGCCCGGCCCTCTTGAGCACCAGGTGTTTGCCACATGGGCTCCATGGGGGGGGCCTCCTGGGCAAGTCAGCCCCCCCTCCCCCCTGGGCAATCTGGCCTGTGTGGGCCACCTCTGGCTGCTTAGTGGGGGAGGGACTCTGGGGGGAGGGGCATCTCTTGCGAGACCACCAGGAGCGGTCTCTTTTTGGGGAGAGGGGCTGGAGCCGTCTCCTGTTCCTGCCCGCCACTGTCTAGGCCGCCTCTAGGTTAGACTGGCTACTTGGCTTTTGGACTGGGAGGGGCCAGGACAGCCTTTGGACCCCTCCCCATAAATCCTTTTCCTTCTTGGGAGTCTTTGCGGTCTCTTCCAAAGATATCAGCCACACTGGGCAAGGCTTGGGGGGGGGAGGAAGCTCTTGCCTCTGTCTCCATTCCTCCTTGCCCCCCCCCATCAGCCTTGCCCTTTGGACCCCGGTCAATCTTTTACAGGGTCTGAACAGGCTGAGACCTTGATAAAAAGCTGCCGTGGCAGAGATTTTATCCAAGAAGGAAAACGATAAGATCCCGCAGAACCAGCTGATTCTAGGCTGGCAGGAGAGGGCGGGTGAGGACTCGGCCCCGGAACGGACTGGACTGAGCATCGGCGGGATGTGGGGTGGGGGGGACGAAGACCCACAGGTGAGAGTCAAAGGCTGGTGCCCTCAGTGCCAGCTCTGACCGCCATCCCCTTCCTTCCCGCAGCCATCCTTGGGCCGTTGCATATTCTCACACACCGCAGTTTAACCCAGGGAAACTCCGCTGACCCCATGGCTCGGCTTAGCCCCCCCCCGTCAAGGCCACCCAAGCGGCAAACCGGAGTGATTCCCCCCCCCCTCTTTTCTTGGGCCTGCCCAGAGCGAGCAACTGAGCTTTCAGGAGGGAGAAGGCAGCTGGGCTGCCGAAGAGGGACTCCTCTCCTTCCTTTCTCCCTGGAGCAGCCCTGAGCCAGTCCGGGGAGGGGGCTGCTTCCTGTGATGTGTCTCCTGCAGCAGAGGGGGAAGGGGGGAAGGGGGGGTCTGCTCCTCCTCAGCATCCCCTGTCTGCAGGGAGTCTGGTGCTGCCTCTCCCGACTGAGTCTTGTCCTCTGGACTTTCTGGGGAATTCCTTCTGTTGCTGAGAAGCAAAACAGCCTCCTCTCCCCCCCCCCCCCGCTGTCTTGTGGGGAGGGGGGCTTAGCCAGAGAGGTCTCCTTCTCAGCTGGGGGCTCTCCAGACCTGCTGCCTGGCAGGAACCTGAGCAGGGCAAGCCGAACTTCGGGTGGGGTCCCTGCTTCTCCATTGCACTTTGCTGGCCCTGCTCTTCCTCACAGGAGGGGCACCAGGGAGGGGGGTTCTGTGTGTGTGTGTGTGTGTGTGTGTGTGTGAGAGAGAGAGAGAGAGAGAGAGAGAGAGAGAGCAGGGTGTGTCCTGTGGCCGGCTGCAGCCGGATCAGGGCCTCCTTGCAACAACTTTGCTCCACTCCGACTCAGCAGCAGCCCTGCCTGTTGAGCTGGCGTTTTCCGGCTGAAGTGCTGAGTTGCCTCCCCACATCCGCTCAGGGTCCCTGCAGCTGCCGGCCATGACAGCCGGTTCCCGCTGGAGGGGGCAAGCGGCTGAAGGCTGTGGGGGCGTGGGGGGGGCCGCCGGGGGGCCCTGCCGGCTCCCTCCCTTTCCTTCCTGGGCTGGCGAAAGCTAGTCAGTTTCTGCAGTGTTGCTCGCTGACCTGACCTCGCCTGGGGGCAGCCATCTTGTAACGGGGGGGGGATGGCCACGGCTCAAGGGAGCCCCTTTGGGGCTTGCTGGGCTGGTGGTGGGGGCTCAGCCCTAAGATACGGCTTGCCTGTGGCTCTTGCGCCCGAGGAGCCCGGTGTCTGGGGGTGTCCCTGGCGGTGGGCAAGTGATGCTGTGGGTGGCCCGTGGCCCGACTTGGTTCAGGGGCTCCCCTCGTTTTATCCTCCCTCCTCAGGTGACACTCAGGCAGCGCCTTGTCCCTGGCCCCACTCAGTCTTCATGAACCGCCTTAAGGGCGTTTTCTGTGGCTTTTCTGCAGACCCCAGGCCCTGGACCCTGGCCCTGTCCCGGCTCCCCACCCCCCCACCCCGTGCGAGTAGGCCATGCTCCGTAGGCCCCGGAGGGACACTGGGCCAAAGGAGGGGCATGGCCAACCCATGAATCACTCCAGATGTGCATGTGAAGCCAGATGGCTGAATTGCTTCCGCCGTTTCCAGGATGGTTTGGAGCCTATGATGGTGGGGGGGGGAGGGTTCCTGCCCTGGCTGGGGTTGCAGTGGGGGGGGGAAATGAGCCCGCCCTGGGCAATGGGGCTGCCCCTCCTCTCCAGTGCCTTAGAAGAAGGGAGCCAGAACCACACAGCCTCTTCTGGTCTCTTGAGGGCCAGCTGCACTTTGGAGGCTGACCGAGGTGGCTGTGGGTCTGGCCCCACGTTGGCCCAGAGCCGCTGGGTCTCCAGCGCAGGGCACCCCCCTATATGCTTTCCTCCTCCAAGGAAGGCGGCTGGCAGGCCGAAGCGCCTCAAGGGCGGCCGGAGACTCGCGTCCCTGCCAGCCCAGCTGTGTTTTCACCACAAACACAGCCCTGTTTGTGGTAAAGCCGCTGCTAGGGTTTAAAACCTAGGGTGAGGAGGGGGCAACTTGGCAGGTGGAGGGAGCAGGAACCTGCGAAGAGGCCTCCCTCTTGCCAGACCCCAACATAGGTGTGCCCCCTCCCACTGCCCGGGGCTACCTGCCCACCTCTCCTGGGGGCTCCTGGCCTCCCCAACTGTAACTGTCCCTTCGCCTGGCTTCTCTGCCGGCCTCTCCCCCCACCCTCCCCCCGGCAGCTCTGCCTGCTTCCTCCGTGCCTCTGGCAGGCTGGTTAATGTTTCTCCTGAGCCACCTGTGGAAGTGGTCTCACGGTTACGGGCGGGGGGGGGGAGCATCCAGCATCAACCGGCTGCATCCAGCTTGAGGCCTCCTGTGGCGGATGGCAAGCAAGGGGTAACCACGGAAGCCGCCGAGGGCCGAACTGGCTGCCCAGGTGGACCAGCCGCCCAGGGTTGCCCAGCACTTGGGAGGCCGGGGCTGGGCGGGGGGGGGGAGGCAAGTGCCCCCATCCTTGCTTTGGGGAGAATGTCGATGTCCCTGGAGGGTGGGTGGGGTGCTCTGTGCCTCTGGCCCCATCTCCTGCCGCCGCCCAGCCTCTTTCGGCCCTTGAGTGAAGCCCCCTCTGCCAGGTGCCCGCCTGGCTGCCTCAGTCACTTGGCCCCTCTGAAGCCGGCCCCCTCTGGGGAGGAGACCGAAGCCAAGGGGGGGGCAAGACTCAGCTTTCTGGCCCTTAACTTGCCCCCGGCTGCCTCCCGCTGCCAGCGGGATGCCCCCCTCCCTCTCCCTTCCCTCTGGTGCTGGGGCGGCTTGTGGGGCGCTCAGCTGCCCTGGCAGCCCAGCCTCCTCCTGCAGGGGAGCGCCTCTGACTGGCTTTCTGCAGATATTAGCTCCTGCTGACGGATCTCCTTGGCCCTTCGCCCTGTCCCTGCCCTCCCTTTCACCTCGTGGGGCCGTCGGAGGGCCCTTGTGCGCCCAGCGCTCTCCCGGTGGAAGCAGGGGTGATTTCTGAGGCTGGATCTCTTGCGGCTGAAGGTGCATCTGTGGGTGCCTCTCTTGGGCCCCGAGACGGCACCCCCGCTTCCTCCCAAACCGTCCACAGCTTTTCCCTCTGCAACCGGCTCTCCCCACGGCTGGGCTCTTGCCTCGCTGGGGCCGTCTTCATCCCTCGAAAGGGAAGCAGCCACACCCAGAGGACGTGGTTGGGCCACAGGGGTCCAGTGGCTCAAGTCCCTTTCCAAAACCTGCTGAAATCTGAGCCTGGTTGAGGCCTTGGCTTGGCAGAAAGGCAGGGCCGTAGGATGTTGGCAAGGGCTTTGGACGGGGCCCACACGTTCCAGAACCTGGATCCCGCCCTCAGAGGTGCCTCCTTCACACAAAGTAGCTCTCCTCCTCCTCCTCCTCCTCCTCCCCCTGGGCCTTTCCTGGGAAGGAGTTCTGCCCTTCAGTCTGGGGTCCAGTCTGGGTTTCGGCCTCTCTGCACGAAGAGGTGTAGCTCCCTGGCCCTACTCTGAACCCCGGAGCCCCCGAGACTCCCTGGTTCTCCCGGCTGGTATCTTTTGGCTTGAAAGGCCTCCCTGGCAGGGCACGCAAAAGCCGGCATCAGAAACAGCCCCCCTTGGCCGTGGTCTCCTCTTCTGGCGCTGCCCTGTCCCCTGGGCCTGGTGGGGTCTTTCGGGCAGGCTGCTGCCCCTCCGAGCTTGGGGGCACCTCGGCTGTCCGGCAGAGAGTCGGAGATGCTGGAAGCCTTGCAGCCCCGCCCCACTGCCAAGGGCCTCTCGGAGGTGCCCCCGAAAGGAGGAGCCTCGGCTGGAACCGGGGCGGGAGGGGGGAGGTGTCTTCTGGGTGGGGGCACCACTGCAGGGACTTTCCACCACTTGGAAGGACACCATGTACCCAATTTTGCAGGGTTGAACTTAAAACCCATTTCTATCAATCAGCCTCCCCTTCTTAATGCAGGTTTATATTACTCACACACGATAGCTGTTCCGATAACATGGTTTTATGGTTTTATCGTTATTTATTGCCTGTTTTTATTCTCTTAAATTGATGGGTGCATTGTTCAAATTGATGTTGTAAACCAGTGTGGGTCGGTCAGCTGGGAGCCTGCGGTCACACAATACGTCACAATTAAAGAACGGGAGCCCTGGGGAGGCCATGCCACCAGGTGATAGGCTGGAGCCCTTGCCTGCTTCCTCCATGGCACCCAAGGGCGAGGGGTCCCCAGGCTCTTGAGTCCGAAGGTTGAGAGGGGGGGGCACTCTTCCACGCCTAGCAGGGAGGCCCTTGCCCACCTCCCGGCTCTAGCATCTCCCCTCGCAGCTCACCCGGCCTTTTCTCTAGGCAGGGACCTTTGGGGTAGAGAGCACCCCCCACCCCGGGAAGCCTTCTGAGCCCATCTGGGTCCCTTTGAAACATACTGGGCTCCCTTGTTTAAAATCGAAACAGTCTTTTAAAACTGAAAGGTGTCCGATTGATGAAGGAGAGTCCCTCCTGTGCCGGGCAGAGCTGGCGTGGGTGGGGGGCTCAAGCCTCCTGAGTGGCGCCTCCTGCAGTGCCCCTTTCTCCCCCCCCCACAGAGAACTCGACGGGGGTGCCCGGGAACGGGACGGCAGCCCCAGAGCCGGAAGTGGCCCGCATGAACGGCTGGCTGATCTGCAAGGAGCAGGACGAGATGCTGAATCTGGCCTTCACCGTCGGCTCCTTCCTGCTGAGCGCCATCACCTTGCCCCTGGGCATCGTCATGGACAAATACGGTCCGCGCAAGCTGAGGCTGCTGGGCAGGTGGGCAGTTCTGGGGGGGGGAGCACACCCGCCCGCAGCACCAGGGGGGAAGGGGCAGCTTCCCTCCCCTCCCAGCAGCCGGGCAGGCTCTGCCTTCGGGATGGGGGAGGGGCGCCCAGAGCCTGCGGGGGAAGGGAGAGCCACTTGATCCACGTGCAAGGGAGGGAGATCCACCCGGCTTCTGGGGAGGGGGGCTGGGCTGGGCGGAGGTGGGCTTTTGCTTTGCCCCCCCCCCCATCGGGGGTTCTTGGCCCATTCAGGCTTCCTGGGAGAAAACACCTTGCTTCCTGGCCCCATTCTGCACGCTGTTGGGGGGGGCAGAAAATCCCCCCCAAACTCCGGCGGTGGGGGAGGGAGCATGGAGAGAAGGCTCTGCTCTTCCTGCGTCGTCGGGGTGGGTGACTGGCAGCTGGGCAGGGGAGGCTTCGTCTCTTGGGCCCTGGCTCAGAGCCTCAGTGGAGGGGAGCCTTTCGAAGGCAGGGCACGGTGGGCGAGGGGAGGCCTCTTGCGGGTTCGAGGATCCCGGATATGGGGAGGGGCCTGGGGATCCGACCCGAGGGACTGATGGGCCTCCCTGTGTGCCTCTGCAGCGCCTGCTTTGCGGTCTCCTGCGTGATGATCGCCTACGGGGCCAGCAACCCGGACTGTGAGTGTGACCCAGGGCGCTCTGGGGAGGAGAGGCGGGGGGAGGGGCGGGCGTGGCTTCTCCATGGGGGGGGAGAGCCCGGGAGCCTTGCCCAGTGGGGGGCTGGGGGACGGGCAGGGCTCCCGAGGCATGCCCACCCTGGGCTCCTGGCCTGGCGGGCACTGGCTGGCGTTCAAGCGCTTTCTCCCTCTGTCCCAGCTCTGTCGGTGCTGATCTTCATCTCCCTGTCGCTGAACGGCTTCGGAGGGATGTGCATGACCTTCACGTCTCTCACGGTAAGTGCCAACTTCCCTGGTGGGCAGGGCGAGCTCTTGTGCCCCCTTGCATGGGGCGGCTTAATGGGCACCCGTCTTGCCCCAGATTGGTGTGTCTGCCCCCACAGCACCCCTGCCGGAGGGGATTTGGGGGGCTCCCTTTCCAGACGGGGGCTCTGTACCCTTCCTGAGTACCTTAGGGAGGGGAGGGAAATGCCTGCTGTGATGGGCCTTGACCGGGGCTCGTGGCCTCCCTGTGCACGTCCGCCTGAGCCGAGTGAGGGCCCAGAGGGTGCCCTTGCCTGACACTGGGGCGAACCCCCGTGCTCTGCCCTTAGTCGCGCCTCATTTGGGGGAGCTTAGAAGGAGGCTGGGTCAGATCAAACAGCGCCCCCCTCCCCTCCACATGGCCTCCAGTCCAGCCTTGCCAAAGGTGTGGAAGGTCCGGGTGGAACACTCCCCCTCCCCTGCCCCTTTTCCTCCCAAATTGTGGGTCTAGGGACCACCATCACCCCCCCTCCGCCCCTACAGCTTCCTCGCCTCTTGCTCTTGAGTAAACAGGCAACTGCGCAGAGCCTCCCTCTAGCCAGCCTTTTCTGCCCTCACACTTGTTCTCCCTTCCCTCCCTCTTCCTCTCCTCTCCCTCCCTCCTTCCTTCCTTCCTTCCCTCCCAGCTGCCCAACATGTTCGGGGACCTGCGCTCCACCTTCATTGCCCTCATGATTGGCTCTTACGCGTCCTCGGCAGTGACGTTCCCCGGGATCAAGGTAAGAGGGGGCTGCGGGAGGGGGACAGTGCAGGCTGGGAATGGCAGCCCGGTTCCACTCCCCCCCCCCCCCCCCCCCCCCCGTGACTAGGAAACCTCCCCAACTCCCCCGGGGTCACCAACTTTATCCAACTGAGGTGGTGCCAGACTCTCGTTGGCTCCCGTTGGCGCCCAGCACAGTGATAGAGCCCCCCAGGAGCCCATAAGAGGAAGGGGCTGGCCGAGACACCCACCAGCTGCAGGAAGGAATACAGGACGGCGCCTGGACAAGTGAAAGCCAAAGGCCTGATGGAATTTAACGCACACCTGTGCTCACAAACACACAACACCTCTTTTTGCATGGTTACTGAAAGTTGTGTAGCAAATGGCAACCCATTTCTGCACTGTTTAATAATAATAATAATAAAGTTGGAAGGGGCCTTGGAGGTTATCTAGTCCAACCCCCTGCTATACCATTTCAGAGAAATGGCTGTCCAGTCTCTTCTTAAAAACTTCCAGTGTTGGAGCATTCACCGCTTCTGGAGGCAGGTTGTTCCACTGGTTAATTGTTCTCACTGTCAGGAAGTTTCTCCTTAGTTCCAGGTTGCTTCTCTCCTTGATGAGTTTCCATCCCTTGCTTCTTGTCCTGCCTTCAGGCACTTTGGAGAAGAGCTTGACTCCCTCTTCTTTGGGGCAGCCCCTGAGATACTGGAAGGCTGCTGTCCTGTCCCCCCTCGTCCTCCTCTTCGTTAAACGAGACATACCCAATTCCAGCGTCAAAGGAGGCCTTATATGCTTTAGCCTCCAGTCCCCTGACCCTCTCTGTTGTTCTTCTCTGTATTCTTTTGTGGAACCCATGGTGCATTTCCAGGAAGGGGAGGCTGTGTGGAAAACACAGCTGTTCTTGCAGCCCCAGACGTTGGCCCAGGGCACAGGCAGACCCAGGGATGGGGGGGAGGGGGGTGCTTGGCTGCCCTCGTGGGGGGGCTTGGGGGAGTGCCTGGGGTGAGCGGGCTGGGCGGCCGACTTCACCTGGCACAGGCAAGGCAGCTGCGTGGACTGGCGGCCAACTTCACCTGGCACAGTTGGCAGCTGGCCTGCAGGGCCTCTCCCAGGACGGCTGACCCAAGTGCCACCCCCTTGTTTTCATGGGGGTCGTGTTGCAGTGCTCGGGCTGGCAGTTGGAGCACATTGGAGAGGGGGAGGGGAATTGAGGAGCGTCTCCATTTTCTCCTCCTGCCTCAAGAGCTTCAGGGGGGGCTCCATGGGCTCCCCACAGGCCGCCTTTGACGCTGGAGGAAGGGGCTACGCCAGAGTGAACTTTAACCCAGCTCCAAAGCCACCTCCAGTCGCCATGTGCGTGACATTCCCAACGGGAGGGCCGGCCTTGGGGCTGCTTACCGCCCAGCCCCATTGTAGCCATGGCACTTTGCCTGCAGAAACGGCCCATGGGGGCTGACCCCTAAGGGCCGAGCTCTTCCCACAAATCCCCCCCCCACCGTGGCCTCAGCCCCACCTCTCTTCAGCCGGCTCCTTCTGCTCCCCAGGTGATCTACGACCTGGGCGCCTCCTTCATCCTCATCCTGCTGATTTGGGCCGGCTGTGCGGGCCTCGTCTTCTTCAACTGCTTCTTCAACTGGCCGCTGGAGCCCTTCCCAGGCCCCGAGGACATGGACTACACGTGAGTGGCTGGCAGGGGGGCAGGCGTGGGCAAGCTGGGTGGGGCAGGGGCCCTGCGTTGCCCGCCCACCTGAGGGCCACTCAGTCCTTCCAGAGCTTTGCAGAACCTCAAGTGGTGAACATGGGCAGAGTTGTGCCAGGGAGCCCCCCCCCTTCTGCCAGCCGCCCAGGAACCCGTTTCAGCCGGGCCCTCCTGGTGAATGGATGCCAGGGCTGGCTTTCCCGTGCTGGCTGCTGCTCTGCCCGGAACGGCCTGGCTTTGCAGCCATCGATTACCCCCCTCCCCAGGCAGTGGCTTCCCCGGCCTTTCACAGCTGGAGATGCCCCTTAAGAGGGAGGGTCCCTGGCAAGGCCAGATGTGTCCACGTTGCTCCCAGGAGCTCCTCCGGTCTGGGGCCAAGACCCAGCAGGACCGACCTTTCCGCCACCAGGGTGAAGATCAAGTTCAGCTGGCTGGGCTTTGACCACAAGATCACCGGGAAGCAGTTCTACAAGCAGGTGACCACGGTCGGCCGCCGCCTCAGTGTGGGCAGCTCCATGAAGGGCAACAAGGAGGCCCCGGCGCTGCAGGACGGCAACAAGCTCTGCTTCTCCACGGTGGATCTGGAGGTGAAGTGCGAGCCGGACAGCGCAGGTGAGGATCCCGCGCAGGGGCCGTGGCTGACCGCTCCGTCTGCCTCCTGGCTTCGCACACTTTGGGTGCTGCTGCCGTGCCAGTTGGATGGGCAGCTTGGCAGGCCCCTGCTGCAGTGTGGCTTCTGCAGAGGGGGTCTCTTCATTGGGTAGCCCCCCCTCCCCTCTGGAAGACGGTCATCTCGGAACTCCCAGCACAAGGAGTCAGGGCTGCCCGCCTCTCCTGCCTGCAAGAACTGGGGGTCTCTCGGGAGGCCCTCTCTGCACCCCGGGCCCTGTGGGCCTGGTCTGACCTCAGGGGCCAAAGGGCAAGGGGTCCGCTTCTGCCCAGCAGCCTTTCCTGCCCTCAGTGAGCCAAAATGGAAAGGCTGTAAGGAGACCTTTCCCTTCTGGTGATAGAGAGTTTTGGGGTGAAATTGCTGCCTGCCCCCCGGAGTTCCCTTCACGGAGGGCTGGAGTGGCCCCTGAAAGGACACAGCCCGGGGCTTTGCTGAAGTGGGAGGAGGTGACCGCTCGGACAGCCCGCACCACCCTGAGGTCTTGGGCCAGGCAGCTTTGCCCTGATCCCACCAGGCAGCCATTTTGGGGGGTGGCCCTGGGGCCCTGCCTCTGGGCCCAGGAGAAGTGGCCGACGGACCCCACAGTTCTGCCAGCCCTGTTTGTGGCATCTCCTGGGAAAAGCCTGATGGATCTTTCCTTTCTTCCCTCCCCCCCCCCGCTCCCACTTGCCCCCCTCCCCCCAGCTTCCCCATCCTTCATGCACAGCGTCTTCAGCCCCATCTTGCTGCTCAGCCTGGTCACCATGTGCGTCACGCAGCTCCGTCTCATCTTCTACATGGGCGCCATGAACAACATCCTGGAGTTCCTGGTGGAGGGCGACCTGGAGACAGGTGGGGGCCCTCTCCCGCCCACGGGAGACCCACGTCGGGGCCTGGGGGAACCCGGCTTCCATCTGGCTGACCCCTGGCACTCGGAGACCGCCTCAGGGGCCACAGTGACCGGTGGGAGTGGCCGTGGAAGAGCGGAGGAGGCCCCCCCCGTGGCCTCGGCAACATCTGATCAGAGGCAGCTCGGTCGGGGGAGGGGAGCACGGGAAGCGCGTCAGAAGGGGACCCTCCCTAGTTTTCTGGAGGATAAACAGAGGGGAGAAATGAATTAATTCATCTGGGTCTGCTTCCTATTTGGGCTACCTCGCAAGGCTGGCAGTTGCTTTCCGGCTGCTGGTCCTTCAACCGCGCCCACAGCCGGCTGCTGAGAGCCCAGCCCTTCCCCCCTCAGACATCTTGGTGGCCATGCTGGCGGGGGGGGGGAATGGGCACCAGTCAGAGAAGGGAACAGACGCCCACCTTTTGGGCACGGAAGGTCTTGTGACGGCCACCGCGCGTTTGGGTGCCATTTATGTCTGAAAGAAGGCAAGGAGGGCAGGACCCAAGGGTCCCCCCCCACCCAGATGGCCCCGTGCTGCCTGCTGGGGCCCAGATGCCCCCCCATTCTTCCCCCCCCCCAGCAGAGGCTGTTTTGCGAGGCAGGCAGGCGCTTGTGGCTGTTGTGGTGCTCCTTCCAGCTGTGTTGCCATGACAAGCAGGGTGCTGGGAGCCTGGGCAGCGCACTGCTGCTCCCTGGGGGATCCGGCTGCTACTGGGGGGGAGGAAGGAGGGGGGGGCATTTCAGCCAGTGGGTCAGAGGGGCCAGTTTGCCCCCTGAAAAGCAGAAAAACAACAGGGAGGGGGAGAAGGCCGCAGACTCTGCGTCAGGCCCCTATTTATAGCTGCTGGAAGGAAGCCGGGAGGGAGGCGGAGTTTGCCCCGGCAGCAGCACCGTGTCTTTTGCACAACAGGGTGAAACCATGCGCGCCTCTTGCGTAGTGACAGCCAGTTTGGGCCTGTTAAACCTGGAATCCGTTGAAGCAGAGGAATCGGCCCGCTGCTTTCCCCGAGGGCAGGAGGGAGGGCGGGAGGGAGGGAGGAGAGAGTGGTGGGAGAGGGCCAGGGGGTGCCTGCCCACCAGGGCCCCCTGCTCCTGTGCCTGCCTCCCCCAGGACCTCGCGGAGCAGAGCTTTCGGAGGCCCCCCCGGGGTTCCCGGTGTGGCCTGGGGGGGGGCTGACCCCAGCCCCTTCTCAGCCCCAGCTCTGCCTGCTTCCTGGCTCTGCCTCTCCTTCTCCAGGCCGGATCCAGAGCCAGCTTGGGGCGCCCTCTGCCAGGCAGGGGGCAATGCCCTCTCTTGCTGGGTCCACCGGGCTGCGCAGCTCTGCCCTGGGGCCCATAACAGAGACTGGACAGGCTGGGTGCCCCGTGCTTGGCCTCCTGCAAGGGGGGGTCTGGTTGGGGGTTTCTCGTCCCTGATGGGGCCTGTCCACTTGTCTTCCAGTGGGTCTTTACAGCTCCGTCTTCGGAGTCTTGCAGCTGCTCTGCCTCCTGACGGCACCGGTGATTGGCTACATCATGGACTGGAAGCTGAAGGAGTGCGACGACAGCCCTGAGGAGGAGGACAATGGAGACGCCAGCCCCCCGTACGTGGCCAGTGGGCGGGGGCAGCTGTGGGGTGCCTCCCTGCCAGCTGTGTGCCCAACCTGCATTCCTTCCCCTCTGAAGCTTAGGAAAGGGGTGCCGCTTCCCACACGCCCTTGGCAGCTCACGCCGTGGGGTGCAGGAGTGCCACCTGCCGCAGGGAAGGGCCCTGCCCGGATGGGAGGCCGTGAGGCAACTGGGTCACTGGGCCAGGAACCGCAGTGCCGTCATTGCGGGCCTTGTTTGTCAGGGACTGGCAGTCTCTGGCAGAAGGCCGAGGTTACTTGGGAAAGCAGAGCCCTTGGAAGTAGGGAAAGGGTCACCGGGCACTGGCTGGCACCGGAGCAGCAGGCAGGGAAGGAGCCCTCCTTGGCCCTGGGGGCTTGATGGGGGGCAGCCCGTGTGTGACTCTTCTTCCCGCCTGCAGGGGTGAGAAGAAGAAGAAACCTCGGGACCGCCGGATCCAGAAGATCTGCAACGCCACCCGGGCTTTCGCTTTCACCAACGTGCTGCTGGTGGGCTTTGGGGTCACCTGCCTGATCCCCAACTTGCCTTTGCAGGTGAAGGAGGGGGACGTGGGCGAAGGGGGGCAGCTGGGCCTGCGGGGTATGTTTGGGGGAAAGGCTGGCCGGCTTGGCCCTGTCCTGGGGGACCCCCTCCACCGCCGTGTGGGGGGTCCCGGCTCCACTCAAGAGCTTGGAGGGAGGAGGGCAGGGGCAGGGGGTCCTGCGGGGGCTCCTGGCTCTGAAGGGGGTCTCCCCGCTCTCCCTCGCAGATCCTTTCCTTCATCCTGCACACCATCGTCAGAGGCTTCATTCACTCGGCCGTCGGGGGTCTCTATGCTGCTGTGTAAGTCCAGCACCCCCTCCTCAGCTGCCCATCGCAAAGTGGGTCACCCCGTTTCTGGGTCACGTCTTCCTCCTCCTCCCTGCGTTCCCTGCCGCCTGGCTTTGCCTCCGGATATTGGCCGGCACCTCTGGGTGCTGCTCCAGAGCGGGTGTGCCCGCCCCCGCCTGCCTCCCCAGCTCCCCGACGGAGGCCGAGGTCAGCTCAGGCCAGGCTGCCTTCCCTGGGAGGCAAACAGTTTCCTCCTGCCCGGCTGGCCCTCCGTCCCGAACCCTCAGCGCCCCAAGGAAGGCAGCTGAAAGGGGCTCAGGGCCCCCCCCCCGCCCCCAGGGCCCGCCTGCCCCGGAGAGCTTTCCCTGGGCCCGGATCCAGGTCTCGCTTTCTCCCCCCTGCCCCCCCTCGCATTTCCTGGTTTCTTAGCCTGGCTGGCCGGTCATTCTCTCTCTCTCACACACACAGGCACAAACTCTCTCTCACACACACACACAGACACAGGCACGCACAGGGACACAGCCCCACACACAAACACAGAGAGACACGCACAGAGACAAACACACACACACCCAGACGCACGCGCACAGACAGGCCCTGGATCCAGTTGCAGCTGAGGCAGGCGCTTTATAGGGCTGACTCACATGTTGTTGTCCTGCTCAGCCTGGAGTTGTTTTGGACAGGAGGTTTCGGGCTGTGGGGTCACGGAGGGCGTTGGGTGCAGCTCCCAGGGTTGCTCAACCGGGAGAGGCGGAGCCAGGCACACCTGCCTCCCAGGCTCCTGCTCTGCGCCAGCCTTCCGCACTCAGCACTTTGCAATGGGGGGGGGGGGGCTGGGCTCCTCTGGGAGGGGCCGGCCTTGAGGAGGCTTCCAGGCCGAGCAAGCCAGGAGGGCCCCCGGCCCCGGCCCAGCTGCTTCCTTTTTTGCAGAGAGACCCCAATACTCCACTGTCGCTCTCCCCAATCTCACACACATGCAAAACCACACCGAGGGACCCGGGCAGAGGGAGGGTCTCCACTCAGCAGCTGCAGACATGTGTGGGTCACTTGCACCTTTCCCCCCCTCCCCCAGGTATCCCTCCACGCAGTTTGGCAGCTTGACTGGGCTGCAATCTCTCGTCAGTGCCCTCTTTGCCCTCCTGCAGCAGCCCCTTTTCCTGGCTATGATGGGCCCCCTGGAAGGAGACCCCCTCTGGGTAAGTGGTGCCATTTAGGCTGGGGGTGGTGGCTGCGCAAGGTGAGGTGCCCGTGAGAAGGGAAGAGGGCAGGGAATGTGCCTGGCAGGGACTCCCTCCACGGCCAGCTCTGGGCCTTGGGGCTCAGAGGGGGTGGCTGCACCCCCAAAAGGACCGTGCATGCCTGTGGCAGAACTTCCTGGTCCCTGGGTGGTCCAGTCCGTCTGCTGTGGAGGACTGTAGAGGCCCAGGAGGTGGACAGGGGCTCTCAGCAGAGTAGGACCAGTCTGGGGGCTTGGACCTTTTCTGAGGAGGGGGGGCAGGTACATGCCCAGCCCACCAAAGCACACATCTCCAAGGGAGGGGCTTTGAGTGCTTGGGCCAAGAAAAGGAGCCTCCCTTAAGGGTCCTTCCTGTGGCCTGGCATTGCCTGGGAGGGAAGCCTGCCAGCAGGACCCCCGCCCCACGTCTGGACCCTTTGACCTTGCATTGAAGCCAGCCTCCCCCCAGGAGGCTGTCTGGTCACGGTCTGGCTGTCGGAGGCCTCCTGGATCGGCTCCCAGGGGGGGGTTGGGGGGGGCTGGCTGGGAGCCATCCAGCCGTCGTCCGTCTTGGGCACGTGAGGAAGGGAAGGCCGGCTCCAGGCGTCTGCTGGGCTGCTGTCTTGGCAGCGGCCTCCGTCTTTGGCCTCCAGGAGGGGAAAACATTTCAGGGCCCTTCGGTGCAGATCTGGCCTCGCAGCCGCTGTTCTCTTGTCCTCTCCCCGGGCAAGACCTGCACGCTGAGGATGGGGGGGGGGGCAACACAAATGTGCCCCTCCCCCCATCGGACAGGGGTCTAGGAAAGGAGGAATGTCCCGGAGGGGGGAGCTCTGAAGCAGCTGGCCTCCTGGACTCACCGGCTTCCATCGCAGGCAAGGGGACGATGATCCAGGGATTCCCGTCCTTGGCATGGGGTTGGACGAGAAGGCCTCTGAGGTCCCTTCCAACCAGATCCAGATGGACCAGGGCTTCCTCTCCTCATGCCACCTTCCTTTCTCCCCCACAGCTGCAAGACACATGGGCAGCCCCTTTTCCGGCTGGGAGGGGAGCTCGGCCCTCGGGTAGCGAAGTGCTGTTGAAACGGGGCAAGCGCAGCCCAGGCAACGGCCTCTCCTCCCCTCCTGGGCGGCTGCTCCCTCGGGAGAGAGCCGGGCCTGGCCTGGCCAGGGGACACCGCAGGCAGCAGGCTTGGCACTCTGGGTCCGCAGGCAGTTGGGGCTCAGGGGCTGCTTGGCACACAGGGGCCACGGTGCCCAGGGGAGGGGGGCAGGGCAGGGGCCCTTCAAGCAGAGGCGGCAGCTGCAGAGTGAGCCGCGCCTCACTCTGTGGAGAGCCGTCCCTCGCCCTCACCGCCCTCACCCTCTCTCCTGCCAGGTCAACGTGGGGCTGCTGGGGGTGAGCATGCTGGGCTTCTGCCTGCCCCTCTACCTCATCTGCTACAGGCGGCACCTGGAACAGGAGAAGCAGCAGAAGGACGAAGACGCCAAGCTCTTCCTCAAGATCAACGGCACACCCAGCGAGGAGGCCTTCGTCTAGAGACGCCGTTTGGACTGGCCGGGGGGGCTCCCCCCTGCCCTGAGGCCCCAGTAAAGCCCCCCAGGCCCCCCAGCACAGGTCCCATCTCACGGGACGGGCCTTGCTTTGGATTCAAAAGGCACGCCACCATGCCTCTTCCGTGACACCATCCTGCCGTGGCCTCTCCTACCCACGGTCTCTGGTGCTGGCCTCAGAGACGCCTAACGTGATACGGGTCTTGGTTGCTTTGCAAAGGGAATGGACCCCTCCCCCCCTGCTATGGTGACCTAGCCCTTCCTGGCACACCTGTACCACGCATGCACACACACACACACACAGGCAACGGCTTGGTTTGTGTCTGTGCAGGACACAGACTCCGGCCTCCCTCCCCATCTGCCTGTTCTCCCATCCTGGGTGAGGGCTTCCAGCCACTCCCCTGGTCATCTTGCAGGAGCCTGCTGGTCCCTCCGACCTCCGCAGCCTCTGGCCGAGGAGGAGCCAGGAGAGCATCCGGTCTGCCTATGTCTTGCACCTGTCCTGGGGGGGGCGGAATTTGGCCCCCACTCTCTCTGCAGTTTGAGGACCAGCTTGAAAAACGCTGCGGCTTGCACAGTGTCTTCCCCCCCCCTTTGGACTTTTTGGGGCGTGACTGAAGAGGGGCAGCTTTGCACAGGGTCGCGCAGGCATTTGGGCTGTAGTGGAAAATGACCCCAAAGTCTCACAAAGGTTAAGGGGCCTGGTGGACCGAGGCAAGGAGACGCCCCAAATCCTGACCTGGCCTGAGGCGCAGCGGCTCCTGCCCAGCCATCGTCCCCGGCCTCTCTGGCTCCGCCAAGGGCAGGTCCAGCCTCCTCACGCCAGGCGCAGCGGCTGCCACTGCCCCCTGGTGGCGGGAATCCTCCTAGGCAGGGCACCTGTTCCCTTCCAGCAGCCATGGCGGGGGGGGGGGCAGGGGCAGCCAAGATGCCACTTGCGGATTGCACTGTCTTGTCTCTTAACATCAAAAGAAAAACACACCACTCTATCTGGCCTGTGTATTTTTTACTCTGAGCAGTCAGAAGGCTGACCTGGTAGAAAGTTTGGTCAAGGTGCTCCCTTCGGAGGCCGGTGGGCTACCCTTGGCCGGAGAGGCTCCAGGGTTGGACATTGAGTGAGGACCGGTGACCCACATCTTCCTTGGACCTTATCCGTGGCTGCCTTCTGGGTGCCAGCTGAGGCCTGGGGCACGTCTGCCCTGCTTCCCTCCCGAAGGAGGAGAGGAGGAAGCAGCCGGCTCCCAGAACGGTCCTTCTTCCCTCTTGGCTCAACTGTAGCCTTGCGTGCAGGGAGAGAGAGCCGGGATTGCCCAAGAGTGTGTGCCAGGGCTGGCAGTTTCCAGGTGAAGCCGTGGCACGGCTTGTTCTCCACAGAGGGCATGTGGAAGAAAGCAGTGATGCCGCTCTGCATCTCCTGCAAACACTGAGCTGAGGGGAAGCAAGTGACCTTGAACTCTGCGCCAAGTGCCAGTGAGGCAACAAACCCTGGTTTGGTGAGGAGGGAGGCTGAAGGCATGGAGTCCATAGCCAGGCAGAGCTAAAGGGGGCCACAGGGAAGCGAATGGCCGCCCTCATTGGCGGTTTCCTCCAATTGGGGCCCACTGGGGGACCGACAAGGCCAGATGGCGCAGCATTTAAACTGGCATTCCCGCCAAAGGGGGCTGTCAAGCCAAGAGAGTGAGGAGGCTGGGCGGCATGGCTACAGGGGGCTCCGGTCCACCCACTGCAGCCGCCACATTAATGCCTGGCACAGCTGGTTGGAAGGAGCGAGCGATGGGAACGCAGCCTCTTGCAGATGCAGAGGTGCTGCTGGCCAACAGCATGCCGAAGGGAAGCGCAGAAACAAAGGGCAAGCCTCAGGGCCCACTAGCTAGACCCCCTCTGCAGCACCTGGGTGGAACAGAAGGGGACAAGGGATGCTGGAGAAAGGTTCGAGCATGCCCAGAACATGCCCTGTGCCTACCCAGTCCCAGCTGAGGCTCTCCTCCACCATAACCCCATAGTGGTCTGGGGTTAAATGCATGCCGGTACTCTGCCAGCTTGCTTAGGAGAAGTGAAGTGAAACTGAAGTCCTGAGAAGCACAAGGGTGTGTGTGTGTGTGTGTGTGTGAGAGAGAGAGAGAGAGAGAGAGAGAGAGAGAAAGAGAGTGAGTGGGTCTGGGCTGGCCCTCTGGGGCAGCTTCTGTATGCAGCCCCCAGGAGAGGCAGGCAGGACGCAGCCCCGAGGCCTAAGCCCAGGGCATTGGCCCAGCTGAGGATTCCCTCTACCTGAATTGGCCAAGGGGCTCCTCAGGCTTTCTTGAGGAGGGAAGAAAGCAGCCCCCCACCTAGTAGTCCTTCAGGGTCCGATCCTCCCAGACTCTGCTCAGCACCCCCTCAATGGGTCAGGCATGCATCCTGTCCCTGGGGCAGGAAGAAGCTGCCCCATGGGTCTACCCACTGTTGCTGAGATAGGTGGAAGCTGGCTGAAGGTGCTCCAGCCTGAGCTTTCCCTGCCCCCCTTGGGCAGGAGCCCCCTCCCTTCCAGAGGAGCCCCCTGCTGAGCCCAACCAGGCGGTAGCAGGTGCACCTTCTGCCTGAGCCGTCTTTGTGGAGGGCTGGATTGGCACAGCTGGTTTCTCCTCGCCTCTCGTCACTTGGACTGGAACCTCAACCTCGTGTCAGATGGTCTTCCAAAGGGCTGGTCCTCCCCCCCCCCCAGTCACAGGCACAAGGCCTTCTCTTGTGGGAGGCCACCACATCCTGGCTTGCAAAGAGCTTTTTCCACGGGCAGCCCTACAATCCTAGAGGGGAAGCCCCGTGCGGCCAGGCCGTGGTCTCCCTGATGTTGCAGGGGGAGAGTGGGGGCTATGCCAACTGCAGCCCCCTTCCCCCAGCTCAGACTTGCCCTGTGCAGAGTTGCTTTCCCAGCCAGGCCAGGAAAGGAGATCCCTGCCTGCTAAGGTCTCGCCAACGAGTCTGTGAATCTGGGGACTTCTTTGGTGGGTCGGCTTTCCTTTGGGAGCCCAGACCAGCAGGCACAGAGATTACAAGAATAACAGTTGGAAGGCACTTGGAGGTCTTCTAGTCCAGGGCTTTTCAACCTTTTCACCCATTGTGCCACTTTTAGGATATGGCAACATCCGAGCACCACCAGACGCTTAGCAAGGTGTCAAAAACTTGATGACCCCCCCAAAAAAGGGAAAAAAGTGATAAAGTACAGGTAGTCCTCGACTTACAACAATTCGCTTAATGACTGTTCGAAGTTACAATGGCACTGAAAAAAGGGCCACCCAAGCCACAGCCGAGCAAGACACCTGCCTGCCCACCCAGCGGCGCTCTTCCTCCTGTCCGAGGTTTCCATTGTGAGCATTTCTGTTGGGGATTGGCAGCGGGGGTGGGGTAGGGGGGGTGTTTGGTTCCCCCCCCCATCTGCTGGGTGGTTGCAGCAGGTTTTGGTCACTTCACATGACCCTGAGACACTGTGACCGTCATAAAGGTGAATCAGTTGCCAAGCATCTGAATGTAAATCACAAGACCCTGGAGAGGCTGCAACAATCCAGCTGATCGGCGCTTCTTCTGGGCTCAGCAGAAGCGGCAGGATCAGCGCCGAGCTCCAGCTGGAGCCTAGCGCTGATCCTGGCGCTTCCGCTGAGCCCTGACAGCCCTGCAGCTCTAGCCGTCTCTCGCTCAGGCTTGTGCGGTGCTGCCACTGGTTCAGCTCATTCCCCTCCCCCACTACCGCTTTTCTGGGATGGTCGCGTACCACCTGCCAGGTGCCAATGTACCACAGGTGGTACCCGTACCACGGGTTGAAAAGCCCTGTTCTAGTCCAGCCCTCTGCTCAATGGACCTTATTCCACTCCGAACAAGAACACTGTCCAGTCTCTTTTTAAAAACATGTAGTGTTCAAGCACCCACAACGTCTGAAGGCAAGCCGTTCCACTGATGAATTGTTCTCACTGCCAGGAAATCCTTCCTTAATTCCAGATTACTTGTCTCCTTGATTAGTTTCCATCCATTGCTTCTTGTCTTGCCCTCAGGTGCTTTGGAGACTAGGTTGACCCCCAACTCTTCTCTGTGACAACTCCTCAAATATTGGAAGAGTGCTGTCACGTCATCCCTGGTCCTTCTTTTCATCAAACTAGACATGCCCAATTTCTGCAACCACTCATCGTATGTTTTAGCCTCCAGTCCCCTGATCATCCTCGTTGCTCTTCTCTGCACTCTTTCTAGACTCTCAACCTCTTTTTTACATGTGATAACCAGACCTGAAGGCAGCATTCCCAGTGTGGTGTTATTAGCGCAGTACAAAGCGGTATCAACACTTCACGTGATCTTGATGCTGCCCCTCCGTTGATGCAGCCTAGGATTGACTGCATTGGCTTTTTTGGCAGCTGCAGCAAATGTGCTGGTCCCCCCTGCAGCTGTTGCTGTGGGATGGTCCATCACTGGAGGGTTTTAAGAAGACATCGGACAGCCGTTGCTTTGAAATGGTATGTTTCTTGCTCGAGCAGAGGGTTGGACTAGAAGACCCCCAAGGTCCTTCCCCACTCTGTTATTCTGTATCCTGCATCCTCCCCATCCTGAAGCCACCCTCTGGACGCCCACCTTTTTGAACTTCGGCACCCACAAGTGCTTAGACAGCACGGGGGAGGGGGGGAGAGTTACTTCCTGGGGTCAGAACTCTGCATTTACGTTACTACAGCTCAAGATAGTTTGGTCGCCCTGCTGGCTCATGATTGCCTTGTGGGCAGTAAGGGCGCCCAGATCCCGGTCATGGCGACTGCCTTGCGTGGGAGACCGAAGCAGGAGACCGACTCCGCAGGGAGATCTGGCAAGTCTGCCGGTGCTCTTCCTTCCCCCCCCCCCCGCCGCCGCCGCCGCACGAGTCCCTTCTTCAGAGAATCTCCCTTCCCAGGACTCCGGGCCTTCCAAGCGGCTCCTTGTGCGGGCCTCGAGGCCCTCCCCGAACTGCCCCCCCCCGCTGAGGGAGCGCTGCGAGGCCTTTCCTGCGGAGCCCCCCCAGCTCCCCCCAAGAGGGGCTCGGCAGGCGCCCCGGCCAGGCTCCGTCGGGGCTCCGGGAGGCCCGGTTTGGCCCGCGCGCAGCTTCTGTCTTGCCGCGGCCTGCCTCGCGCTTCCCCCGGGGCCTCATCCGACTCCATTATACGGTCCGCGTCCGGAGAAGGTCCGGGGCCGCTGGCAGACGCCGGAGCCGGCGAAGGGGCGCCTGGCGGGGAGGGCGCCCGCTCGCTCGCTCGGCAGTGCAGCACTTCGGGCTCCGCGGGCGCCGCTTCCTCCCCTGGCCGCGGGGCGGCGCTCGCCCGGCCCTCCCTTTCCCCGCCCGCCGCCGGCCGAGGAGAGCCGGGACGGCGCCGCCCCCTCCGCGCGCGTGACGTCACGCGCCGGACGCCGCGCGGTGACGCAGGGCTGTTGCCGAGGAACGCCGCCCGGTGCGCCCGCCTCCCCTTCCCCGCCGGAACCCCGAGCGCGGCGCCGGGGACGGAGGGGCCGCAGGGCGACGGACGGCCGAGCGGAGCGCGGACGGACGGACGGACGGACGGGAGAACGGGAGAGCGAGCGGGCGGCGGGGCCGCGGCGGGGCCAGCGGAGCAGCGCCCGCCATGGTGCTCGTCAAAGAATAGTGAGCGAGTCGCGCCGCGGCGGGGAGTTCCGCGGGTGGCGGCGGGAGCGAGAGCGGGGGGGGGGGGGCTCGGCCGGGCTGGCGGCTCCCGTCCCGGGCCCCCAGAGGCGCCCCCCCCCGACCGCCGCCGGGCGCCCAGGCGGCAAGTGGGGCTGGCGCGGCTCCCCGGCCAAGGACCCCTGAAGGTCCCGCCGCCGGCCCGGCCCTGCCCGGCCCTGCCCGGGAGACGCGGCGCCGCTCCGGCTCCTGCCTGGCGGGGCGGGATTCGCCGGGGCGGCCCCTCCGTCCTTGGCCGCCCGGGGCTTCCCGCTCCAGCGTCCTTGGCCGCGGGCGGGGGGGGCGCCCTCCCCTCCCCTCCCCTCCCCCCCGCGTGACCTCCGCGGGGCCGGGATCCGGTCTCTCCCGCGCGCGCAGGCGGGACCCCCGGAGGGCGGGCGCGGAGCGGGAGTCGCCCGCATGGCTCGGGCGGGGGCTCTGGGGAAGGAGGGGCGCCGCGGGGGGGGTGCCCGGGGTCCGCAGCGCGGTGGAGCTCGCCCGTCCATCCAGCCCCCTTCGGCCCCTCCCGCGGGGCTCCTCGGAAGCGCCGGCCGGGCTGATCAGGAGGAGTTCCCCCTCCTCCCCCCCTCCCTCCCTCCGTCTCTCGCTGGCGGCCTTGTGGGTCGGTGCAGCTTCCCCCCCTCCTTCCCCCCCCCGCCCGGCGGTGCTGCTGCTGCTGGGACCGGCCTTTCCCCGGGGGCGCTGGGGGGGCCGCGTGCCGGGGGGGGAGCCGGATCCCATCAGCCGGTCCGCCAAGGGCGCGGAGGGGGGGGCGGGGGCGGCCGGGGCAGCGTCCTTTAAGCGAGCCCCTGGCCTCGTCCTGGGACCCGGCGAAGAAGGCAGCTCGGCTGCGGACCTCTGGATCGCTCCCGGCGGTGTCCGGTTGCCCCTCCGGCAGCGGAGCCGCCTGACTGCCTTTCTTCTGCTCTCTTGCAGCCGCGTCGTTTTGCCTGTGTCGGTGGAAGAGGTAAGACTCTCCCGCCTCCCGCTTCTTTTGCTTGCTTTTATTTTACTTATTAAACAAACTCACATGGCCACCCAGACACCGAGGACTCCGGTTGGCTTACAACGTTTCAAAAAAACACACACATAAAAACTACCCCTCCCCCCTCTCGGCAGTCACAGCTGGATGAAGCCTTTGATCGTTTTCATTGGGGGGGGATGCCCTCCTCAGCCCATTGACCAAACCTCCTCCTCCTCCTGGCCTTCTTTCCATCTTGGCTGAACTTGTGGCTAGTGCCAAAGCTCAGGCAAAAGGGAGACCCATCTTCCCCCCCTTTACCCCCCCCCTCCAAGACCATTAGCCAAACTTGGGAGCTGGCTGCTAATGAGCCATCCCATCTTCTGCCTTTGTAGGCAAGGAAGGCTCCCTCGGGTGTAGTAGGGGAACTACTAGGAGTGGAGGAGAAGGGGGTTGATGAATTCTTCAAGCAATTCCTAGCAATTTGGGGTGAAGTCCTGATACGCTTGTAGAAAGGGCAGTTCCGTTTGCCTGTGAGCCTTCTTGGGTTCATCTTCCGTTTTCCATAATTTGCGGAAGTGTGATCGGCTTTCCTGCATGACAACTCTCTGCCCGAGTTTAATTTTTATTTGGGGGTGTTACCGTCACTTTGCAAGAATTGTACAACCTCTTATATTGGTTGGGTGTTTTCTTTCTTGAGCTTTTTGAATAGTTAGGAACAGGTTTGCAGGAAAGTTTGTGTGATACTTTTTGTATGAAAATTGGCTTCCTGATAAAAGCATTACTGGTCCTTTGTGGGACCTGCTTTTTCTCAAGCCCTGATTGCCAAAGGAAGCGGCCAGTAAACTTGAAGAATTCATTACCACGTGATCTGGGGATAACCTCTCACTGGAATGGCTGTAAAAGGGGATGGAAAATTGCTGGAGGACAGAGTCACCCACCTTGAGGAAGTCTTTTTCTTACTGTTATTTTGTTCTCCCCCCCCCAACCCTTTCTCTGATTTTGGCTCTTCAAGTATGTCAGGTATCCAAGCTGGGTGGAATGCAGGGTGATATCAGATAATGCATAACATAGTTAACATAGAAACAAAGAAAATAAACCCACTTTTATAAATAAGTAGCTTTCAAGCAGGCCCACTTCTGTATCCCATCAATACTAGTCCGCCCTGGCCCGGCAGTGGTTCCTAACCGTGCCTCCCTGATGGGGAAACGTTGACTGTCTTTCCACCTGCACCTCTCAAGTCCCCTCTCCGACAACCCAACAACTTCGTGTTGTAACCCTTTGATTGACAGTGCCCTCCCAGTCATCGCCACAGAGTTGTCAGGTGTCTGACTGTGTACTGCGGGCTGGAGCGTCAGGCCTCCCAAGGCCAAGGCAGCCGCCGTGAGAGGCGCATGTGAGAAACGAAATGCTGGGCCTCGGCCCGAATCCCGTAGGGCTGCGCTTGTGCTCTTGTCTAGCCCTCCCCCTTTGCCCTTCCCTGTGTTCATGCACTCGCCTAGGATCAAGCTCCTCGCCACATACACCTTCCCATTCTTCTGTAGTGTTGACTACAGTGTCCATAATCCCTGGCTGCCATTGGAGGAAGTCCACCGGTTCTGGAAGGCCCTGGGTTATCCACTCCCACTGCCCGGGAATTGTGGACTTTCTCTGTGCACAGGCTGGGGGGGGGCAGCTACGCCTGCGGGCTCTTGGACGCTGCAGGGCCCACGGTTGCCCCAGAGGTGACTCCACAGGGTACCGCTGGTGCTGCCTACGCCAGTCGGGGCAAAGCAGCATCCTCTGTGGCAAAGCAGTTGTGAACAACTGTGGGGGAGAAGTGGGCAGCCCCAACTGCCCTTTTAAAGGCCTGGCTAGTAAAAAGGAGTCTGGGGTGCTGACCCTTGTGGGCTTCCCCTTCGGCCTCACTTCCCCACAGGGAGCCTGGGCTAAGGCGGCCCCAGGAGATCCAAAGGGGGGGGAGCAAAAGGGCCGCATGCCAACTCAGTGAACAGCAGCCGGTCCTGTACCTCGCAGAGGGGGAGGAGGAGGAGGAGGAGCAGATGCGCTGGGCAGGCGGTTCCCATGGAAACCTCTGCTCTTCCTTAAGCCACGATGCCCTCCACGTGGCCTTGGGGCTCTCGTGCAGGGCTGGGGATGCCAGGGCCCTGCAAAGGGGGTGCAGAATCCAGCTCAGGCAGAGCGCCCATCACCCCCAGTGGCGTGGTAGCCGTTCCCTGGCCCAAAAGTGCAGGATCCCACCCCGCGTGTGCTTTGCTCCCCCCATTAGCACTCCAGAGCCTCCGGGGAGCACGGATGCTAGCGCCAGGTCCCCAGCCTGCTTGCTGGCTCGCTCTGTGTCCAGCCCTCCTGTCCGCAAGCCCCTCACAGCGCCGCGTCTTCCCTCCTCCAGTACCAGGTGGGGCAGCTGTACTCCGTTGCTGAGGCCAGCAAGAACGAAACTGGCGGGGGCGAAGGGGTGGAAGTGCTGGTGAATGAGCCCTACGAGCGAGACGGAGAGCGGGGGCAATACACCCACAAGATATACCACTTGCAGAGGTAGGTGGCGTGGGAGGATGCCCCCCACAGGGAAAGGCCCGTGTTTGTGTGTGTGTGTGTGTGTACAAAAAGGGCCAAATCCCCAAAAAGCTGGGAGAGTCCTGGATGCTTGGCGTTCACACAAATCAGCCATCAATACTTACCAAGGGATAAACCACATTTACCAGACATTCAAGAGAGACAATAAAAAATCCGGGAAGGAACTAAGAAGGCCATCCCCTCCAGCAGCCAGCATTCAGATAAGCAAGGATCCACACCAGACAAGGCAAAAAGCAATAATCAAGGAGTCACCAAGGAGAAAATCAACCCATCTCAACCCCCCCCCCCAAAAAAAAACCCCGGCTGAGCAAGCACAGGCGTCAGATCTCCCCTCTCCCCCCACCCGCTCCGCATCGGTGACGTTCCCTGGTTGGGTAATGAAACTTTTGTAAGGGAACCACCCAGAGCCCTGAGGCCTCCCCGGGTCCACCCTGAGCCACGGCGGCTCTCCCATTGTTCTGAGGGACCCCCCAGGTTTTCCCTCTGCGCCAAGCAAACCCCTGAAGCAGTGAGCCCTGGTCCTGCCCACCTCCACTGCTGCTGGGTCCCAGCCGCTCTTCCCGTTCCTACGAAGACAGACCGCTGGTTTAGAATCGAAGAGGAAGGGGCCGGGGGTTTGGTGGCATGCCCTTCCGTCCCTAGGAATCCCTTTTGGTCCAGTGACATCGGGGGAAGGAACCCGTGTGCCTGCCTGTCAGGGAGGAGCTGGCATTGCCCTGGGCCAGTCTGGGGGGAAAAAAACCCTCTGCTTCTGGAAACCTGGCTTAGTCTTGAACCCTGAACCGCCGGCAGAGTCGCTGGCAGCAGAAAGAAGAGCAGGCAGAACCCATTGGCTGGACGTTCTGCTGGGACACCTGGGTGCCCTCTGCGTGGGAGGGACCTCTGACCTCTCCCCTCCTTTGTCCTGCAGCAAAGTCCCTCCCTTTGTGCGGATGCTGGCCCCTGAGGGTGCCCTGGACATTCACGAGAAGGCCTGGAACGCCTACCCTTTCTGCCGGACCGGTGAGCTCTGCCAGGGCAGCAGCCTCTGCCTTCCCCTTGCTGGGCTTTGGGTGGCTTTCCCAGGGGCTTGGTGACGCCAGGCCCCCTTTCCTCTGGGGGTGGGGGTGGGGGGGGACTGGGGTTAGGAAAGTGTCCCACGCGGGTCTGCTCTCGGCAGCTACTCAGTGCTCTGAGCTGCTTCAGAGGAGCTCCAAGGCCCAGGCTCAGCCACTCTTCGGCCCCCTCGGGGAGGGAAGGCGGTACTATTTCAGGGGGCAGCCTGGCCATTTTCTCCGCCTCCCCAGGAGCGGCAGCCGGCCTGAGTCCTCCTGGGCAGCCCAGAAGCAGCTTCTTGGCCTTTGCCCGGCTGCCCTGCAGGAGCCCCTCAGCTCAGTCCGTCTGAGCTGGCGGTGGGCCCACCGCCCAGAGATCCTTCCCTGCACAGCTAACCTGCCGTTGGGGCTAAGCTCTGCGCCTGCCCTGGCCCTTCCTCCACCACGCTGTCTGGCTGGCTTGGGCTGTTTGAGGCCCTGGAGCCTGGACAGTGGGAGCCAGGTCTTTGGGAGGAGGCACGGCAGGGGCCACGTTCCATCGGGAGCCACGGCAGGGGACGGAGGCTGGGTGGACTGTGGATCTGCCTGGAAGCTGCTGCTCGCTGGTCATTTGGCCTCCAGCCCTGCTTTAGAGGGTGTCCTGGGCCTTTGAGATGCCCAAGCTGCCTGCACCTCCTGGGAGGCAGGGTCCCTACGTGGCTGCTGTGTCTGAGCCCTGAGTGGGAGGCCTGCCTTGCTGCAGCTGCTACTACGGGGTCCTCTCCTGTGAAAAGTGGGGTGGGGGGGCAGCAGCCAGTTACAGAAGCTGGCACCTTCCCCTCATTAATCATGAAGCCTGGCAAGGGGGCATCCAGTTACTGCCCAGCGTGGCCCTGGGTTGTGTTACCTGGATTGTGTTACCTGGGTTGTGTTACCCACTGGTTAGGAATGAAGGAGGGACAGGGCTGTGGGGGGGGGGGTGTCAGGCTTTTCCCCTGGCGGGGGCTGCTTACCTGCCAGAAAGAAGAGCTCTGCTGGTTTTGCCCATTTTCTGGAGGGGGGTGGAATGAATCCAAACCCGACAGGTGGCCGTGGGGTTGGGCTCCCGGGTGGCCTGCTCTGCCGGTGAAGCCAGGCAGCACCAGAGCATGGCAGAAGGACAGAGATGTTCCTGGGGGAGGGGCATTGGATAGCGCACTGCCAACTGGGTGGGTGGGACCTCAATTGTGCCTGCCATGTGTGGGGCTGGTGGAGGGTGACCTTAAAATAGGCATCCTTGGGCGAGGTGCTCCCTGGCAGCCCCCCACCCCACCCCGCGGGGTGCTCAAGCTGGGTGGGGGGACGTGGCAGAGCTCCCTGCTGCAAGAGGACGAGGCGGGGGCTCTGGGCCGCCTGGGCCCTTCCCCCGCTGTGAAGGCGTCCCCGCCCCCCCCCCGGCCCTGGGATCTGTCCCTGATCAATGTTGCTGTTGGGGGGGGGGAGGCAGGCCGGGAGCAATGGCTGCGTCCCTGATTAAAGCTCTTGTCTTTCTTTCCATGTCTCGGGTTTTGGAGCAGTTATAACGGTAAGTAGAGCTTCCAGCCCCTGTTGGGTAAGTGGCTGGACTGCCAGGGACGTGCTGGGTCACTTTCATGGTCTGGGTAAGGCAGGGGCTCCCTTTTGGGTCTGGGGGGTCCAGAACCGAGGTCCGGAGAGCTTTCACAAAATCTACTTATCGATCAGTCGGGCCATCTCACTCCTGAAGGTGACTCTTGGCGGCTTGGAGACCTGTAAGGTGCTCTGGGGCGAGGAAGCTCCTTTGGGGTCCCCTCGGAAGGCTTGTGAGGCAAGAAGGGGAAGAGTGCCAGTTTTTTTTTTATTATTATTATTCATCCTAATTTCCTTGCACGGATTTTCCTGCCCCTGTCCCTCGCGTTCCTCCAGGCTCTTGGGCCCTCTAGAGCCTGCCAGCCCTCTGCCGGCCGCCCCTTCCCACTCCGGAGCCCCCAATTGGGCTTATCTCTTCCTAGAGCTGGAAGAGGCTCCCCCCTCCCCCGGGTGGGCCTGCCTGGCAGCCCTGCTCTAGCTGGCTCTTCGCTTGGGGGGGGGGGGGAGAGCGAGGCTTCTGCAGCCCGGATCCGGTGCCCTGTTCCTGCTCTTCAGCCCCAGAGGTGCTCCCGGAGGGAGGGAGGGAGGGAGGGGAGGGACGGGGAGAGGGCCAGGGCAGTCGCGGGGGTCCCACGGTGGTTGCAGGCCTTGTATCTGCTTCCCAGCTGAGGGAACGTTCTCCTCTCCTCTCCTCGGCAGAACGAGTACATGAAGGACGATTTTCTGATCAAAATTGAAACCTGGCACAAAGCAGATATGGGCATGCAGGAGAATGTAAGTGTGCTGGGCAGGGAGGTGGGGGAGAAATCTGTCTTTGGGTTGCTGTTGCACTTGGGGACACACACACCCCCCGCCCAGTGGCTCTTCTGGCAGGAACGGGAGGTGGAGGAGTGGGACAGGTGGTCCTTTGCCATATTCCCCCCCTCCCCCTCCAGGCTCATGAGTTCAGAGTCCTGATGGGTTTTCAGTGCCCTTCAGTCAAGTCCTCCCCCCCCCATCCCCGGCCTGCCCTCTGCAGGGAGGAAGGGGGCCACACGACATCCGGCTGCCCTTTCTAAACAGTTGACTCCCCCAGTTTCAATAGCAGATTGTTCTTGCATGTTTTTATTGAGCAATTCTTTTGCAACTGCCCCCCCTGCCCCCGCCCCCAAATAAATTCACTTTCAGGGATGTTCTGAAAAAGCTGCAGCGGAGGAGAGCCTGAGAGGTAGACTGAAACCTGCCCCTCCTTGTTCCTGCAGGTCCATAAACTGGATCCTGAGGAGTGGAAGAACGTGGAGGCCGTTTCCATAGACATTGCGGACCGGAGCCCTGTGCTTTCCAGGGTAGGGCAGCCAGGGGAAGGGCCGGGCCCGGGTGGGGTGGGGGATGGTCACCTGCCTGGCTGGAGTCTCTGACGTGCCCTGGGAGGCCACTCGCCGGCAGTGGCAGGACTGGAGTTGAGAAGGGCATCTCTGCTGGCTTGAAATCCGGGGGGGGGGGGAGGGGT